TGCACCAACAAGGTAGGAAACAGGAGGGTGGCAGAAAATATGTATTATCTTTTTATTTGTGTGTGTATCTGTGACGGTGCGTGTGTATATCTGTTATTTTTATGTCAGAGCTTGACAAATCCCAGGTCGCCATGGTGACCAGGAAATGTGTCCTGGCATCTGGGATTTGTGAGCCTGTTACCTCCAGAGGTGACCAGCTGCTTTAGAGCAGAGATGGGCAGTCTGCTCATGGAGAGCTGAGGGAGGAAACCCGGCAGTTGACTGAAGTAAGGGGGTGGCTGGCTCAAGTAGATCTGAGGAAGGGAAGTGGGCGGCTTACTGAGCGCGGAAGCGGTGATATCCCTGCTATGCTCCCTTGCGCGCCTTGCAGTGATGCCGGTAGCCGAAATATGACGTCACTCCATTTAACAACCTGGCTCCTCGATTCCAAGCAGATTTGACAAGGCCTGGTGTGTATTTGTCTGTGTGTACCTATTTGAGTGTATCAAATAAAATAAAAAAATACTTTGTGTGCTGTCTGCCTGTCAATCAGTCTCAGTGCATGTGTATGTTTAGGTCACCAGCCTCTCTCCGATCGCATGGAAATGCTGATTTTACTTGCCTTTTTTTTTTCTTTTTTTTTTTTTAAACGGCGTGCTGGTCTCGCTGCAGCTGGCCTGCTCATTAGCTGAGATTATCAATCTTGATGATCTTAACCAATCCAATGCTATTCCATTTGGAAGCTATTGAACATGCACAGAAAAAAGCTGTACCAATCAGCATCACCTAATAGATGCCTTAAATCAATGCATCTCTATGGGGACTGTTCAGTGCCTCCATGCATACTAGTGACCTTCCCGAGATTAGGTCCTGGATACGCCCCTGAGCAGCACAGTATGTTTACTTTAAAATTCAATTAACTGAGCAGGAGATAATACATTCTAAATTAGAGTGTGTAATAAAATGTATTGCCGCTTTAGCACCAATGACAGCGTGCAGTCTTTTGTAATATTGTTCAAAAAAAGCCCCTAATTCTTGCAGGTGGTATAGTTGCCCATTCGTCTTGGCAAAATGCAAAATGCCTCCAGGTCATGCAAAGACTTTGGTCGTTTTGCATGAACCGCACGTTTGAAATCTCCCCAGAGTGGCTTGATGATATTGAGGTCGGGAAACTGTGATGGCTACTCCAGAACCTTCACCTTTTGCTGCTGTAACAACTGGAGGGTCAACTTGGTCTTGTGTTTAGGGTCATTGTAATGCTGGAAAGTTCAAGAGCATCCATGCGCAGCCTTCATGCAGAAGAGTGAAAATTGTGTGCCACTATTTTCTGATAACATACTGCAATCATCTTGCCATTCATTTTCACGAGATTCCCCGTGCCTTTAGAGCTCACACAACCCCAAAACATCAGTGAGCCACCATTTATGCTTTACAGTGGGGATGGTATTCTTTTCCCTATAGGCCTTGTTGACCCCTTTCAAACATAGCAATTATGGTTTTGACCATAAAGCTCTATTTTGGTCTAGTCACTCACTAGGGATCGACCGATATTGATTTTTTAATTTTTTTTAGAGCCGATATTCTGTGAACTTTCAGGCCGATAGCCGATCTAATTTGCCGATATTCTGTACATTTACCATTTATTGAGACTATGTTTTAGTTAGTTTCACAGGATTTCACTTTATTGATTATATTATATTGTATTTTTAATTATGCACTATTCTTTAACAAATATGAGTTTCTAGGAACAATATATAGGAGGTGGCAAATAATCTACCACAGTCAAAACTGGGGGGGCATTAATCATTTTCACTAGGGGATAGGGTAATGTGCTATCCTTGGCTGTCTGATGCCAGCATGCTGTCCTGTGCATGCTGGCATCACAACAAATTTGCATATAATTCACATTAGCCACCTATATTTATTGTTGTGGGTTGGTTAACACCTCTTAAATTCAATCATTGTTTTTCAGATAACTCCCCTATTTGCTATTCTTATGTGGGATTGCCATATTTAATCTGCTAAACAGCACCCTAATTTGTAGAGATGCACCGAAATTTCAGCTGAAAGTTGACCTATCCCATTTTGGTCAAAAATGGGTCAAATTTGCAGATTATTTTATTTTTTGTAGTGCAAAGTTTAACAGACATGCTTGCGTTGACACTGTGATTATATATCACAATAAAAGACCGTAATGAATTAATATGAAAAGTCAAGAATACTGCGCTATGGGACAGGGGAAGGGGGAGGGAAAGAATGCTATGGGACAGGGGAAGGGGGGAGGGAAAGAATGCTATGGGACAGGGAAGGGGGGGGAGGGAAAGAATGCTATGGACAGGGAAGGGGGAGGGAAAGAATTCATGGGACAGGGGAAGGGGGAGGGAAAGAATGCTATGGGACAGGGAAGGGGAGGGAAAGAATGCTATGGACAGGAGGGAAAATGCTATGGGACAGGGGAGGGAAAGAATGCTAAGTGGACAGGGAAGGGGGAGGGAAAGAATGCCAAGGGACAGGGAAGGGGGAGGGAAAGAATGCTAAGGGACAGGAAGATGGGAGGGAAAAGAATGCTATGGACAGGGAAGGGGAGGAAAGAATGCTATGGACAGGGAAGGGGGGGAGGGAAAGAATGCTATGGGACAGGGAAGGGGGAGGGAAGAATGCCATGGGACAGGGAAGGGGAGGGAAAAGAATGCTATGGGAAGGGAGGGAAAGAATGCTATGTGGAGAGGGGGAAGGGGGGAGGGAGAGAATGCTATGGGAGAGGGGAAGGGGAGGGAGAGAATGCTATGGGACAGGGAAGGGGGGGAGGGAGAGAATGCTGTATGGACAGGGAAGGGGAGGGAGAGAATGCCATGGGAAGGGGAGGGGAGGGAAAGAATGCTATGGGAGAGGGAAGGGGGGAGGGAGAGAATGCTATGGGAGAGGGAAGGGGAGGGAGAGAATGCTATGGGAGAGGGGAAGGGGGGGAGGGAGAGGAATGCTATGGGAGAGGGGAAGGGGGGGAGGGAGAGAATGCTATGGAGAGGGGAAGGGGGAGGGAGAGAATGCCATGGACAGGGAAGGGAGGAATGCCATGGAAGGGGGAGGGAGAGAATGCTGAGGGACAGGGGAAGGAGGAGAGAATGCTGCAGGACAGGGAAGGGGGAGGGAGAATGTCATGACAGGGAAGGGGGAGGGAGAGAATGCAGCTGGGAAGGGGGGGAGAGAATGCCATGATTAGAAGGGGGAGAGAATGCCAAGGACAGGGAAGGGGAGGGAGTGGAGAGAATGCTAAAAAAAAAGGGGGGGGTAGGAGAGCGGAACATTGTGGGGTGGGGGCACTAATGTACAGGGAAGGGAAAAGGAACACTGGGGTAGGGGGGACCACTTAAAGTGAAGAAGTTTTTCATATTGGATTCTCTTAAAAAGTCTAATAATAAAATTACAGAAAAAATCTATTTTAATATCATTTGGGGGGAAAAGTCGTTTTGGGCCAAGGGCATCCTGAAGTTTCGGTATTGGCCCAGAATTTTAATTTTGGTGCATCCCTGCTAATTTGGTATCTTTAAATATGGAAATCTCACAAGGGCATGCATTTAAGGAATTATCTACTAAACAGCTAAAAGACCAAAATTTTAAAAGCCCTTTTCTTAATTTTAATATTTCAGTTTTTTTTTTAGTATATAACTCCCTTATTTGTTATCCTTATGTGGGATTGCAATATTTAAGGACACCAAATAAGGGAGCTGTTTACTAAACACATATATATATTTATTTTTACACAATAGGTGTGTGTGTGTGTGTGTGTGTATATATAATCACAGACCTACACACATAAACATACAAACACAATTAATTATAAATAGGTTCACCCAGCCTCCTTGCCTTGCTCTGGGAGGCCTAGAGTGCATCCTTAGTCCCTGGTGGTCAGTGGTTGTTGCTGACACCAACACGAACATATTACATTACAAACAGTCCACTTTGCACACACTTCGTCCAACACCGAAGAACCAAAAAACCTCTAATAACTATTCAATCAGGGATTTGTGCATGTGCTGCCCTGAAGCGTCATCAAAATAACAGCTGAGCATCATGGGAAACCAGATCTTCACTGCCGGAGCTTAGCTATTATATAACTTTCTAAACCTGCTTCACATACCTTCTAAACATCGTACAGAGAACGCACCTAAATTTGGTCAGGTTGGACAGTTTGGTTTGAGCCCATTGTGACGGAGCTCCCTCCCCCTCTCCCCCCCTCTCTCTCCCCCTCTCTCTCCCCCCCTCTCTCCCCTCTCCCCTCTCTCCCCCCCCTCTCTCCCCTCTCTCTACCCCTCTCTCTCCCCCTCTCTCCCCCTCTCTCTCCCCCTCTCTCTCCCCCTCTCTCCCCTCTCTCTACCCCTCTCTCTACCCCCTCTCTCTACCCCCCTCTCTCTACCCCCCTCTCTCTACCCCCTCTCTCTACCCCCTCTCCTACTACCCCCTCTCTCTACCCCCTCTCTCTACCCCTCTCTCTACCCCCTCTCTACCCCCTCTCTGCCCCCTCTCTCTACCCCCCCTCTCTCTACCCCCTCTCTCACCCCCTCTCTCTACCCCCTCTCTCTACCCCTCTCTCTACCCCCCTCTCTCTACCCCCTCCTCTCTACCCCCTCTCTCCACCCCTCTCTCCCGCCCTTTTCTCTCCCCTTTTCTCTCCCCACTTTCTCTCCCCCCTTTTCTCTCCCCCTCTCCCCCCCCTCTTTTTTTAATTTTAGATGTAGAGATCACATATACATATATATTGATCAGCAACAACATTAAAACCCCTGACCGGTGAAGAGAATAAATAGCATTGTTTATATCATGCTTAGCATAGCTTTTAAATAATATACATATAATTAAGTTATCGTGACTCTGGGGAAGGAGGCAAAGGGTTTCTTTAAGAACTGCTGGTATAGGTATATACTCCTATATATAGCTTAAATGCTACTTTCGTATTTTATGCAGGAATGTTTAAAGAACAGAAAACAATATTGTGTATATATTACTCTTTCAGATTTTCAAAAATGGATTCCCTCTGTGATGCAAATGGCTCCTTCGCACTTAATCTTTTCCGGAGGTTAAGTGAGGACAATAAGTGTAATATGTTTTTCTCTCCCTTGAGCATCTCTTCTGCACTTGCCATGGTCTATCTGGGGACTAAAGGCAACACAGCTGCACAGATGTCAAAGGTAGGTCTTTGCTTCACAATATGTAGATGGGCATAAAATATGTTGGCCAATTTTGTTCACATACCACTGTTAAAGGAACACTTATAAACAACTTTTAGTAGCCACTTGATCACAAACACTAGCCAAAGTTAGCGTTAATATTTGTGTGTGAAAAATGCAAAAAATTAATTTGAATGCCAATTTTGGCCAGGGGCCGTTATGGGGGTAATTTTCATTCCTGGGCTACCATATGGTCTCAAAGGTAACGTAACCAATCTGGCGAATTTCAATGTGAAAACTGAAACGCAAGCCTTCTATTTGACTGTCACTTTTGAAACCACCATAAAACCTGTACATGAGGGGTACTGTTATACTTGGGAGACTTATTTTAAACACCGTCCTTGAGGGGTTAAAGAGACCTGCATCACATGACAATTCTTTTTTTTTTTTTTTTTTTAACATTAGGCAAACGCTTTTTACGCAAATACACAAACCAAAAGAAAGCAGGAAAAAACTTAGAACATGTATGTAAAAAAACATGTATAAATTTACTATAAACTTAATCAGACTACATTATTGGGCACAGCTCTCATATAGGGGAGTTTCTTCAGCCTCCTTTTCACCAACCTATCTCACTTTCAGGTAAATCCACTGATGACTGAAACAGGGCATCATTGTGCAGCAATAGGAGAACGTCCCCTGTTCTCCCACTGTCAGAATGTTGCAAGGTCAATAGATCTTCAGCTGCACATGTTTGAATGTGGATATACATTTGTGTGAAGTATTTGTGTTTGAGTGAAGGGGTTTTTCTATGTAATATTTGTGTTAGATTGCAGGAGTGTGTAAGTATGTTGTCTTTGGTGTTTGACTGCTTGGATGTATGCACATACATACTTATAGAGATATACATGCACTTTGACACACAGATATAAATACACACAAATTCATATAGACATATACACACGCACTGTGACACACACATTGATACATGCACACACTGACCTAAAAATACACACCCTGACACACAGATGCACACTATATATAGGCTGACACACATACACTCACACACACAATATTGTGGGGGGGGGGGGGGGTCTGGAGGAGCTCCTGAAATGCCCTCCCGTGCGGTCTACCTGCATGAGACTGCCAGCAGAAACTACAGTGACCCTATTCAGCAGTTACTACTACAGATTAATGTAGGTGTTCTGGTGTCCATAGCATGTCCCTACAGGCTGAACACTGTAAACGCTGCCATTTCAGAGAAAATGCAGTGTTTACATTTGTGCCTTACATATAGTTACATAGTTACATAGCTGAAAAGTTCAGGCTACCTCACATTTGTTTTTTGCTGTTGATCCAAAAGAAGGCAAAAAAAACCCAGTTTGAAGCACAATTTTGCAACAAGCTAGGAAAAAAAATTCCTTCTTGACCCCAGAATGGCAGTCAGATTTATCCTTGGATCAAGCAGTTATTACCCTACATTGAAAGATTATATCCTTGAATATTCTGTTCTTGCAAGTATGCATCTAGTAGCCGTTTGAACATCTGTATGGACTCTGATAAAACCACTTCCTCAGGCAGAGAATTCCACATCCTGATTGTTCTTACAGTAAAAAAGGAATAGCAGCAAGATGTCAGGAATCTAGGATCACAACAGCCACACTAGACCCCACGGAAAAGATCCACTCCAGCTCTCCAAAAGGTAGGGAGGATGGATGGCTCTCCAAAAAGGTAGGGAGGCCTTGTAACACCTCTAGTGATTAGTCACTCAGGCAGACACTAGAGGTGCTTCCTAGTCCAGTGTACAGCACCTACGTTCAGCGTCTCCACGAGCTTTATGAATGTTCCCTGTAGATATGCATTGATTAAATTCATGAGAAGATGACTCCCAGTGCTTTCCTATGTGAAAGCAATCTATCATCAAGATTGATTATCTGAGCCATGGGGGCAGGGACCTAAACAGACACACTCACTGGTACACACACTCACTGACAGACAGACACAGTCTCTCAAGTTTTTTTTCAAAGTCCATCCATCCTCCCTACCTTTTGGAGAGCTGGAGTGGATCTTTTCCGTGGGGTCTAGTGTGGCTGTTGTGATCCTAGATTCCTGAAATCTTGCTGCTATTCTTGCTCTGCTCCCTTGCACAGCATTTAGTGATACCAGGGCTGTAATGACCACGTATCCCAGCATTACTGCAGGGTGTGCAAGGAAGAGGAGAGGTTACAAGTGAGACAACCTTCATTTAGATGAGGAGACAGAGATAGTGAAACAAGTTGGTCTGTAAATGATGATGCGCTTGCAGGGATAGGCAACCTTGTAAAGCATCACGGTAAGTGTAGTCCAAAGCATCCGGAGTGCCGAAGGTTGGCTATGCCTGCACTAGAGAGCAGCTCTGTTAGGGAGAATATGTTGGCGTTTTATATATGCCAGTAATAAACAAATTACTGCTGGGTTTAACATTAAAACAAAAAAAGTTTAAGACTTAAAATAAGGATAATACCAGAGACCCCAGAAACTCTATTTAAATGAGCAGACATCGTTACAGTTTTCCTATTTGAGTTGGTAAGCTAATTTACCAACAATCCACCAGTCAAACATAGGCCACAGAAGGCAGACTGCAGACCTCATGTATAGAGGTGAACAAAATGGCAACTCCCAGATAGTGAGATCTGGAGCAAGGAAGAAAAGATAAATTGAATAAAAAGACAAAATATTGTGCATCTGTGTGTGCATATCTCTGTGTAAATGTAATATTGTATCTGTGTATCCAAATATGTGTTTTTGTACTTATATTGTATTTAGGAGGTTGGGTCAAAGGGGCAAAGAGATTCAACCCCAAAGACTCAAGAGTGCATGTGTTGTACAAGTCATGTTTCGTTACAGTGGAATTGAGGGATTTTGATATTTGCACAGTAATGTAGGCCGAAAAAGACCATCATATTCAACATTTCACATATCTGTAATATGGCTGTCTATCCAAATTAGGTTAAAACAACCAATTCAAAGAGATTTAGATTTTTGCCACAAATGGGGAAAAATCCTTCTTGGATCAACAAGCTGTTACCCCACATATTAACTGTTCTATCCTTGAATACTCTTTTTCTAAAACAGTGTCCAGATGTTCAAAAATCTTTTGTTTCTAAAGTTCTTAAGTCTTTCTAGTCATACCTAAAATCTTGCTCTAACTGTAAAGGCTCTTCAATATAACCAGAGTTACGACTGTGGTGTAGTAAAATACTTTATTCAGCTTCATTTAAAAGAACACGCAGGCCGGCAGGTAAGACCTCTTGTTGCGTATAGCTAATCCTCGCTGAGCTTGGTCAAGAGAACTGGTCCGTGGCCAACTACTACGGAACTTCGAAAACCGGGTACTGTGTACTCTGCTCTTCTGTGAGGCAGGGCTTCTGACCAGCGTGCTAACATGGTGAGTAGAGTACACAATACCCGGTTTTTGGAGTTCCGTAGTAGCCGTAAAGGACTTGTTCTCTCGGCCAAGCTCAGTGAGGATTAGCTATACGCAACAAGAGGTCTTACCTGCCAGCCTGCGTGTTCTTTTAAATGAAGCTGAATAAAGTATACCACGGTCGTCACTCTGGTTATATTGAAGAGCCTTTACAGTTCGAGCAGGCTTCTCTGCTCTACACTTGTGAGTTGAATATTCTCCCCTTCCCTCCTTTTGTATACTCATTTGTACTGTATTGCCCTATGTTTTTTATTTTTATTTTTTTAATGTGATATTCCTGAAGTGATTACTCCTTGATGATTAGAGTATGTATATAGTGTTCTTATACAGACATGTATAACAAATGGGTGCACAATGTGGAAAGGAGTGAATAAGAAGCTCTAAAACACCTAAAAGTGGTACCCTCTACACCACTTTAAAATGAACAATATATATACATACATACATAAGATGGAGCTTCTAAAATAGCTGTAAAGTAGATATTCTGTAAAACAAAATTCTAAAACAATAGTGCAATACAATATTGTCAAGTAAAATGTAAAAGAGTGGTGTCATTCACAAGCCTAGAGTCATAGCCTCATATGACTCAATGGTGTACGCCTGTGGACCATTAAACGATGTCCAGATCCTCCTTCTGTGCAGTATTCTGTCCTTTTCCGCTCTTATAAATGCTAAGTCAGGGGAGTTGATTCCAGAAAAAAGGTGCTTTATTGGTTGGTTAAAAAATACACTAAATATAAAATGAATTAAAATAGTACCAGATAGGCTGTATAGTCCAGACAAATGTCCAAGAAGTATGCAAAAGGAGTTTCGCCTGATAAAACAGGCTTTCTGGGTTTATCTGGCAAAATGCGTTTTGGATACTTCTTGGACATTTGTCTGGACTATACAGCCTATCTGGTACTATTTTAATTGATTCTATATTTAGTGTATTTTTTAACCAACCAATAAAGCACCTTTTTGCTGGAATCAACTCCCCTGACTTGGCATTTATACATTCCTGAGCCGGTTAAGAGTGGAAAAGGACAGAATACTGCACAGAAGGAGGATCTGGACATCTTTTAGTGGTCCACAGGCGTACACCATTGAGTCATATGAGGCTATTACACCACTCTTATACATATTATACAGTTTACTTGACAATATTGTATTGCACTATTGTTTTAGAATTTTGGTTTACAGAATATCTACTTTACAGCTATTTTAGAAGCTCCATCATGTGTATGTGTTCAAGTAGAGATTCCCTAAAACCTCTAGTCACCAACAGCTTCATAAGACACAACCGACTTCCTCAACAAACTCAGCCAAGTCACCAATCTCCCTGCTAACACCATCCTTGCAACCATGGATGTGGAATCTCTATACAGCAACATTCCACGTACAGATGGCATCAGTGCTTGCTTCCATTTTCTCTCTCATGTCAACAACCAAAAATACAACCCCCGAATTATCACAGAACTGGCACTATTTATTCTCACGCATAACTACTTCAGTTTTAACAATGAGGTTTACCTACAAACCATGGGCACTAAGGTGGCACCCCAATATGCTAATCTGTTTATGGCAGATCTTGAACAGAGATTCTTAGAAATACAACATACCAAACCATACAAATATCGCTATATCGACGATATCTTCATAATTTGGACTGAAAGCGAAGAAAAACCTGATACGGTTCCATGACTCTTTCAACACATTCCATCCATCAATCAAACTAAAAATTGAATATTCCACTAGATCTGTGAATTTTCTGGACACCACTGTGACATGCAACAATGGCACAATCCACACCTCGGTTTACAGAAAACCCACAGACAGGTGCAGTTACCTTCACAGCTCCAGCTTCCACCCCTCCCATGCTAAACAGGGCATCATCTACAGCCAAGCCACTAGGTACCATCGCATATGCTCTGATCCTAATAGAAACATAGAATGTGACGGCAGGTAAGAACCATTCGGCCCATCTAGTCTGCCCAATTTTCTAAATACTTTCATTAGTCCCTAGCCTTATCTTATAGTTAGGATAGCCTTATGCCTATCCCAGGCATGCTTAAACTCCTTTACTGTGTTAACCTCTACCACTTCAGCTGGAGGGCTATTCCATGCATCCACTACCCTCTCAGTAAAGTAATACTTCCTGATATTATTTTTAAACCTTTGTCCCTCTAATTTAAGACTATGTCCTCTTGTTGTGGTAGTTTTCTTCTTTTAAATATAGTCTCCTCCTTTACTGTGTTGATTCCCTTTTATATATTTAAATGTTTCTATCATATCCCCCCTGTCTCGTCTTTCCTCCAAGCTATACATGTTGAGATCCTTTAACCTTTCCTGGTAAGTTTTATCCCACAATCCATGAACCAGTTTAGTAGCCCTTCTCTGAACCCTCTCTAAGGTATCAATATCCTTCTGAAGATACGGTCTCCAATACTGTGTACAATACTCCAAGTGAGGTCTCACCAGTGTTTTGTATAATGGCATGAGCACTTCCCTCTTTCTACTGCTAATACCTCTCCCTATACAACCAAGCATTCTGCTAGCATTTCCTGCTGCTCTATTACATTGTCTGCCTACCTTTAAGTCATCAGAAATAATCACCCCTAAATCCCTTTCCTCATATGTTGAGGTTAGAACTCAATCAAATATTCTGTACTCTGCCCTTGGGTTTTTACGTCCAAGATGCATTATCTTGCACTTATCCACATTAAATGTCAGTTGCCACAATTCTGACCATTTTTCTAGTTTACCTAATGACCGTAATTCCCATCTAAATGTACTCTCCCAATCTATGAGACAGGCTACAAACCAAAGACTATTACCAAACAAATCAACTCTGCTGTAAAAACACAACGCATGCGCCTGCTATAGTACAAAGAGAAAAAAAATATCTACATGAGTGCCACTTGTGGTCACCTACAACCCAGCTCTTGAGAAAATACGGAAAATCATCAAAGACCTACAACCAATATTAACAGAAGATGACTCTGAAAAACATTTTCCCTGAAACACCCATTTTTGCCTTCAGACAACCACCAAACCTCCAACAAAAATTAATCAACAGGAAGCTGCCCACTTATGGTAAGAATGAAGAAAATGGGACCAGTCAATACAAAAAACCTCGCTGCAAACTGTGTCAGCATATATGCACAGACAACACAGCCACACACAACAATAAAACCTACAGCATTAAAGGTTCATACTCCTGCACTTCCAGCAATGTGGTATACATGATTCAATGCACCAAATGCCACCTAGGATGCTACGTTAGGGAAACCACCCAGCCATTAAATGGCAGAATGAATATGCACAGACACCACAAAGAAGAATCCTACTGCACTCCTGTGGGACACCACTTGACCCAGCCGGCCACTCACTGAAGGACCTAAAAATCAAAGTACTGAAAGGGGGTTTTAAAAATACCCAGGAAAGAAAAACTTTTGAAGCCAGAATGATTAAATGGATTAACAGCAAGAATAGAGGACTAAATATAGATTTGGGTTTCCTGTCCCACTACCAACACTTTACATGAACACTCCCCCAGCAATATCTTACTGTTCTGTCATATGTATCAACACTTTAAAATGCATTCCTATGTTTATTTTATCTATATACAAAGTACTATGTGTAGACCTATGCTTTCCCATATTTGTATGCATGTGTAACAGATCACCTGGCACCCCGACTGGTTACCTCCGTTGAAGGATGCTCCTAGCGCTTCCTGAGGACTCCAAGCACTGCAGCAGACACCACAACCACCAAACCGGAGAAGCATATGAATGCTCTCAAGCATATGAATGCTGTAAGCAGCTGAACAGGAAAAGCATACAATCAGCTTACACTCCTGGCAATCAGCATACAATCCAATTCCCTCAATAACGAGACGACACTTCGTTTTGAGGGCAAGCAGAACCGACTGTACTGGCACATACAGCCTCTTTTATTCACAATCCACAAACATAGTACTGCCCGCAGGGCCGCCATCCATTGTTCTCACCATGTGCTTCATCCATTGTTCTCACCATGTGCCTCTGATACATGAAATGGTGGCCACCCAGTAACTCCAAAGTTTGTCTGGTAGCCTATCCAGCCGGACCAACAGATGAAACACATGGGGAACAGTGCAACAAACAAAGGGAATCATAAAAAATATGGACAATAGTCATATTTGTGCACAGTCTCCAGTTCTGTCACAGGGCACAAATGGTGTTTTCAAATGCCATATATCCCAGGGCCATAGTCAGAAGGTAGGAGGCCGGCAAGCAGCCCCCTCCAAGAACACATGGCGAGGTCTGTTGCGCCACATTTCTCCCCTTTACGCGCCAGACTAACAGGGTATCTGACCTCCTGCCGGTCAGTCCCCTGGTTAGTCCAGCAACCCACCCACAAAACAGAATCCGCAGTATAACCCACCCACGAAAATTGGTTACTACACCTGGGGTAGTGGGTCGCTTGTCCATGTCCAGGAGCTCCACCTCGGCTCTGGGGGGTACTAGCACTCTGGATCGGTGGGTTGCTGAGTGGGCAGAGACCAGCGGTACTCTGCCCTGTTGTCAGCGCTACCACAGGAGTAGCCTGGTTGGAGCCCAGGTGAGGGAACGACGTAGTAGGCTCCTCACTCCAGACCTGGGGCTGCTGCTGGAGGGGAAGCCAGGCTGTCTCCCCTTTGGATGAACAACCCTGCTGCTGAGGAACAGGACCGACCATCCCTACCCCCTGTGATGCATGTGCAGAGACCACCGTCCCATCTGTGCCGGTGTGGGGCTTATCATCTCCCCTTGGTGGGCTAGACGGCCGCTGGGGAGAGGGGGTAACAAGCTTCTCTCCCATACATACTTCCAGCCGCGGGGGAGGGAGACCAACTGTCTCCGCTCCCAACACCGTGTCCTGCTGCTGGGGAAAGGAGACTGGGCTCTCTATTCCCTGCTGGACACTCTGCCTCTGGGGAGGGAGGACAAGGCTCTCATTTCCCAGTAAGTCACTCCGCTGCTGGGGGTGGGGACCAGTTGTCTCCTCTTCCTGAAACTCACTCTGCCACTGGGGATCAGGGCCGACCACCCAGCATCCCTGTAGGGCTGGTAGAGAGACCGCAGTCTCATCTCCACCTGCCATCTGTGGGTCTTCTCAGGACCAGTCTGTGAGGTCCCTCAACATTTGCGAGTAAATTTCCGCACCCGGTAACTCTGGCTGCTGCTGGGGATCTGGGCCGACTGCCCAGCATCCCGTTGGGCTCGGCGGAGAGACCTCGGTCCCATCTCCAGCTGCCTGTTGTGGTTCCTCACAGGACCAGTCTATAAGGACCCCTACTTTGGGTTCCTCTGGCCGCCTCAGGGGGAAACGGTTAACCTCCTCGAATGCAGCCTCTCTTTTGCTGCTGTAACACTCCTTCTCTTTCGCCAGCCGGAATTCTCGGTCCATCCTTGCATTTCGCCCGGCTGTGACCTGGTTCCAGATCGCCTGGAATATATCCATGGGCACATTATCACCATACTGGGCCACTCGTTGCCTCACCTCGGCCAGCCAATCATCGCCTGAGCCTTCCATACTTGTCTGCTCCAAGTCACTGGATACCTCTGCTCCCGGGGCGCTGCACGTGTGCTAGCGTTGCCCTCAATTTGTAACTCCACCAACGGTGTCTCCGAGCTGCTTTACCTCGCACTAGGACGCCGTCCCACTGCTTGCCACCAGTGTATCGGATCACCTGGCACCCCGACTGGGTACCTCTGTTGAAGGATGCTCCTAGCACTTCCTGAGGACTCAAAGCACTGCAGCAGACACCACAACCACCGAACCGGAGAAACATACGAATGCTCTCAAGCATATGAATGCTGTAAGCAGCTGAACAGGAAAAGCATACAACAGCTTACACTCCTGGCAATCCGCATACAATCCAATTCCCTCAATAACGAGACGACACTTCGTTTTGAGGTCAAGCAGAACTGACTGTACTGGCACATACAGCCTCTTTTATTCACAATCCACAAACATAGTACTGCCCGCAAGGCCGCCATCCATTGTTCTCACCATGTGCTTCATCCGTTGTTCTCACCATGTGCCTCTGATACATGAAATGGTGGCCACCCAGTAACTCCACAGTTTGTCTGGTAGTCTATCCAGCCGAACCAACAGATAAAACACACGGGGAACAGTGCAACAAACGAAGGGAATCATTAAAAAATATGGACAATAGTCATATTTGTGCACAATCTCCAGTTTTGTCACAGGGCACAAATAGTGTTTTCATCTGCCATATATCCCAGGGCCATAGTCAGAAGGTAGGAGGTGGGCAAGCAGCCCCCTCCAAGAACACGTGGCGAGGTCTGTTCCGCCACAGCATGTATGCTTATATATATTACTGTGCATTTATATTTGTGTATATGAGTTCATGTGCATGTATGGATGTGTTTATGTATATGTACATGTGTTTATGCGTTCACATATACATATTTATGTGTGTGTGTGCATGTATAAAGTGTACCATCCTCTGCACTGTCTGCTGTTTTTCTTCTCCCTCTCTCCCCCCCCCTCACTCTGCTCTTCAGAAAGATATTTATGACCCTCTGCAAAAATGGTGTCTATTTTCTAACAAACCTGTGTCTTATCTACCCTCATGTTGCTTTAACCCCTGTATCACAATTACATGATTTTGCTACTGCATGACGAAAAGTCATGATTTTAATAAAGACACGGAGGCGAGTATTTGCATATCCCTTTCTTTACTGTCCACAACAGCAGCAAAGAACATTAACTGAATGAAAAAGCAAAAGGTAGTGCATGCCTCATACATAGGCCACGCCCACCTAGTGTCCAGTATAATAGCCTGGTCCGCCCTCCAAATTCCCTCTTTCTGAAGACGGAATTAACAGACTGAGTACATAAAATGTAAGAAACTTTCAACACGACATATAACTTTTCAGTAACACGCATAAACTGTGAGTCCCATGGAAGCTGGTTTATAACGAGGCTTTGAGCTATTCCCACTGGAGAAGACTGTTCCATCAGACGTGGTCGCATGTCTCCAGTTAGTCGAATCGTACAGATCCGGTTCAGGCTGTGAAAACATAAACGACAGGAACCCATGGGTTAAATCTGATCTATGTACCGTCATCAAGGTTGAACAAAGCCGAATATAATTATCTCGTCCGAATGTTAGTCTAATGTTAATCTAATGTCCTTATCTCCGTAGTAAAGCACAACATACACAACTTTGCCCCATTTACCACCTCAACGTATCCGGGCTCGTGCCGATGATCTGGGTGGGAAAAAATTTGCAGAGTAATAAACATGACATACCAGAGCAAATTGGGTGGGATAATACTCGCCTCCGTGTCTTTATTAAAATCATGACTTTTCGTCATGCAATAGCAAAATCATGTAATTTTATTACAAGACACGGAGGCTCGTATCTGCAAGTTTAAAGCTGTTCCACCACTGCCGTAAACGGGTGTGTATTCGGGCGAAAGTAAAATTCTCGGAACGTCGATTCCCTCTACCAATCAGCCATCTTCATGACGTCCTCCAAACGTGCTCATGATGTGATAATTGCAGAGGGCGAGGCGCCCCTCACGAAATGTGCCAAATATAGAGGTGTCGATACCCACTGTGCCAATTAGCCATTTCAACCAACGTGAGAGTGTAGTGCTTACCACCGGTTTAAAGGGTGGACGGAGAGAGAGGAAAAGCTGAAATGTCGTAGGCACCCGGCAAGTACAAGTGCGGTCTTCGTATGCTTTTAAGCATGCCACTGGGAATAGTGCCGGTGTAGACGGGAAAGCCGGGTACGATACTGATTTTAAGAGATGTTTTGGTCAATCTGTTGATAGTAAACGTAACCCCGTTGGGAGAGTACGATCTAGCGTCAAGATCCAAGGCCCGGACGTCTGATAAGATATTAGGCAAAGGAGACAAACTAGTTTAGCCGATAATTGGCGTAAGGAGAGATCCGGGTTCAAAGGCCAGGAGGTAAGGAGGGACAAAACAGTCTAAACGTCCCAAGTGGAGGAATAGTGGGGCCTGGGTGGATGGGAAAGCCTGGAGCCCCTTAGGAGTCTGCACACCAGTGGGTGTTGACCGGCTGGGTGTCCGTCTATGCCCTGATAAGTTGATGGTTCGGAATGCTTTCCCTTCTTCGAAGAGGGATGTCAGGAATTCCAGAATGCAGGTTACAGGGGTTGAAACGGGATCCACGTTCCTAACCATGCACCAGCCAGTGCAAGTTCTCCAGGCTGACCCATATGCTCGTCTAGTGCCTGGGGCCCACGCATCCGCCAATAGTCGAGTCGATTCCGAAATGCCGTGGACCGTCCAGGGTCCCCCGAAATGCGCCAGGACAGTAGACTGAGTGAGGCATCTACCAGGAGGGGGTGACAATCCCCTGACGGGTTCCAAAGAAGTTCCTGGAAGGCTGGCAGCAATCTCGGATGATCCACCGCCATCTCCAGTAGTTGTGGGAACCAAGACTCTGTCCCCCCAAAAGGGTGTCACAAGGACTAATTCGGCCCGCTGGTGGCGGGTTTGGATGAGGGTGCAGGGGATCATTGAGAATGGGGGAAACGCATACAGGAGGGCTCCTTGCCAGTCCTGCAGGAAGGCATCCACGGCTTCTGCCAACGGGTCTGGTCTCCAGCTGAAGAAACGCTTGAGTTGGGCGTTGAGTCGGGATGCGAAGAGGTCTATGGCAAAAGGACCCCATAGCGATAATATAGTGGAAAACACTTCCACGTCCAACTTCATGTCGCTGGAATCCGATAGCGTGAACTCCAGTCCGCCTGGACGTTGAGCAGCCCCTGCAAGTATTCCGCTTGGACCATCAAATTCCGCTCCAGACAAAATTCCCAGAAGTCCTTCGCTAGTCCGGCTAGGAGCGTCGATTGGGTGCCGCCCATGTGATTGATGTACCGCACCGCTGAAACGTTGTCCATGCAAAGGCGAATGCATCCATGTGCCTGATCCTTCGCGAAGCTGTGAATCGCAAAGGAGCTCTCCAGAAGTTCCAATGCATTGATATGTAACCGGGCTTCAGTTTCCGACCAGCGGCCTCCCGTAGAGACGCCTGCGCAGTGGGTGCCCCATCCCTGCAGGCTCGCGTCTGATTCTGTGGTAAAATCCAGGAGGTTGCCGAAGATCGCCTTGCCGTTCCAAGCAGACAGATTGAGAATCCACCAGCGTATTTCGTCTTTCGTTTCTCTGTCCAGAGTTCCAGGTCCGCGTAGGACGCGCCCTCCCGTAGGTGCGCGATCTTGAGTCGCTGTAGGGCTCTGTAGTGTAGAGGGGCAGGGAACACTGCCTGGATAGAGGAGGTTAGGAGGCCAATTAAGCAAGCTAGTTGCCGCAGTGAGAGTTGTGGTCGGAGGAGTGCCCTGCGCAACTCCTTGCGGATCGCACGAATCTTGCGTGTGGGCAAGCTCAAAGATTCTTGTATCGAGTCCACCAGGAATCCTAGAAATTCTGTCTGAGTTGTCGGGGTCAGACGGGATTTCTCCCAGTTGATGATGAACCCCAGACGGGAGAGGAGGTCTACCTCTAGTTCGATGTGCCGTATGAGGTTGTGTTTGAGTCATGAGTAGGATGTCGTCTAAGTAGAGGATGAGTCGTAGGCCTCGACTGCGCAGCCAGGCCATAGCCGGGCGGAGGAGCTTGGTGCAGCACCAAGGAGCCGATGAGAGGCCAAAGGGAAGGCAAGTAAAACGCCAGGTCCTGTCGCGCCATTTGAAGTGCAAGAGGTCCCGAGATACTTCTGCCACCGGGACTGTAAGGTAGGCGTCCTTGAGATCTAGTTTCGCCAACCAATCTCCGTGCATGAGTAGGTCCCTCAGGAGGTGTATACCCTCCATCTTGAAATGACGATACCTTATCAAGGTATTGAGGGGGCGTAGGTTTATAACTGGGCGCATAAGGCCGCCTTTCTTTTCTACGAGAAAGACGTTGCTCAGGACCCCAGCGTTGCCCGTGGGTGCCAGTTCTATCGCCCTCTTGTCTAGGAGGTTGGACAGTTCCTCGTTGATCAGCACTCGGTCGTGCTGAGAGGCGCTAAACGGTCTGGGGGAGGGGATACTTACTGGGTCTCCCACAACTTCGATTTGAAACCCTCGTATTGTGTTGAGCACCCAAGTGTCGGACGTTAGGTCCGACCATGCTGGTAAAAAATGCTGGAGTCTGCCCCCTACACAAACATGAGAAGAAAATAGACATATGTACAGGTTTTGATGTTTGTATAGACTCACCGTAAGGTCGTCTTGAGCCGGTGTATCCCCGGAAACCTCTTGAGCGCCATGGCCGGCTGCGGGACGGGAAGAATTGAGATCGGCCCCTAGTGTCGTAATAGCTGGGGCGTTGGTGAATGGAGCCTCGTACCGTGCCTCGGGACTGGAAAGAACTCCGGCCGGACAGACTGCTCCTAGATCTGCCGGCCCTGGTAGAGACCCGTCCCTGAAATACTTTCCTCATAGAGGTTTATGCCTTATCGAGGGCAGTGAACATGCCCACGTAACGCCCCAAATCTTTGATAAATGATTCCCCAAACAGAAGGCCCTCGGCATCTTTACCGGCCTCCGTGGCTAATTTTGGGTCAATTTTGAATAGTATGGCTTTACGCCGTTCAATTGATAGGGAGATATTAACGCTTCCGGCAATGCAGATTGCTCTTTGTACCCAGCCTCGTAGGTCATCAGGGTCGACCATGCGATGTTCCGCTTTGGCATCCTCTGCCAGGTCAAACAGTTTGGCCAGGGGGCCAAAAATGTCCAAATGTTTATCCTGGCAGGCCTGTAGAGCTGAGTCCAGACCCTTGCGTGGGTTCCAGCCCAGCTTAGTTAAATACTGGGTCATTTTAGGATCCACCTCTGGGATGTTGCATACTTTGTTGGGGACCACAGGTCTGGGGCATTCTGCCCTTAGTTTATTTCTTGCAGCCTTACTGAGAGGGCGCGGTACCCATGCTTCTAGGTAACCGGCAACGTGATCCGCCGGGAGCCATTCCGCGGACCTAGGGTGGTGAAGCTCGTCCGGGTCAAATAATGGCTCTCCTAGCGGATCCACTTGGGCGGACCCCGCAGTAGCGGGGTGTGCCGTCCCTATATCGCCTCCATGCGTCTCCGCTTATGCAGAGGGAAAGAGGTCCGTGCCCAGCTCAGATCCCTCTGCATCTGAGTCGGTCTCTGACTCAGTCTTGGCCTCCTCCTGACCCGATTTCCGAGTCTGAGTTGCTCTCAATTTGTGCTCTTGCACATTTCCAAAGTCGCGCTCGTTCTGCCTGGCGCGGAAAGGCTCGTTTGCATGCTTGTCACGCTTTCAGGGGCGACCAATGGTGCGCCGGTCCTGGTGTTTCTGGAGGCAGGGGGAGAAATATGCTTGGCTTTGTGTGTAGCCTTTTTAGGTGCCTGATCAGCAGATTGTCCCATAGGGCGTGTGAGGGTTACGCCTGAATCACCGGGGTCTGTATCCATAGGCCGTGCCAAAAGGGCATGGGCAATGGACTATGAGAGGGCCGATGACATTGACCCCATAGCCGCCATAATGGCGTCGGTCATAGAGCGCTGAAGAGCGGCAAACTGGGGTCCCTCCGATATGTGGGGGATATCGCCCTGAGGGGAGTAGTGCCCGAGGACTCCCCTATTATGGTGGGGCTATCCCCATCCATATGGGAGGGGGAGGAAGGCATATTGGGCCTAGGCATCACAATAATAATAATGCTAGAAAGAAAAGTCAGTGAGAGTAATTCACCCAAACTGACAGCAAACAGCTTACTAATGCAATACTCTAAAATTAAATTTGAGGAAAGTATTTAAAATGCTGACAGAAAAAAGACAGAGACTCTCACCAGGGCCCAGACCGTTGGAACAAGAAGGCAGGTCCCTCAGGGGCAGAGGAAAACAGAGGAAGTCAGTATCCTGCCCAAAAACGCGGGAAACGAGAGGTCACACAGAAGTGAGGGAAGGAAAAGGTAACCCCCGAACGGAACGTGCGAATGTAATGTGCGGCCGTTCGTAAGAGATCTAACTATATGAAACAGGCGAATGATCGCCAGCTCCCGAAGTCCCGTAATAGAAGAGAGTGGAAGACCCCTGCGTTCTTGCGAACGAGCGTGCGTACACAGGGGTCGCCAAGGGAACAGGGAGGTGGAAAGTGCCTCGGGAAAACAGCGCGAAAGCGCTGTGCCAGGACCGGAGGAAAACTAAACAAAGGAGGGAAGAGAGGAGAGGGAACAGAGGGGGTGACAGGATCTTCACATGGAGTGAAGGGGTTGCCCAAAGGTGATTAAGAGGGCACCCCCAAACGGTCTGGGAATCTGGGAGTTAAGTAGGGAAACCAATAAACTAACAAAGTGAATAAGGAGAATAAATTGAATAGAGGTAAGAGATTGTAAAACAGTGAAAATTGCTTCAGAGTGTAAAAAAAAAAGGTACTTATCTGACGTGGAGCAGCAAAGAAAGAGGGAATTTGGAGGGCGGACCAGGCTATTATACTGGACACTAGGGGCGTGGCCTATGTATGAGGCATGCACTACCTTTTGCTTTTTCATTCTGTTAATGCTCTGCTGTTGACAGTAAAGAAAGGGATATGCAAATACGAGCCTCCGTGTCTTGTAATAAAATTCAACTTTGAATTCTATGTGTCGTCTTGCTCAGAAATGCTTCAGACTTGAGAAAGGGAGGTTCTCCCGTAAGCTTGTCATTAAAAAATTCTGTTAGTCCAATAAAAAAGGTATTACAAGATACAAATTTTATCTGTATTTATTTATATATATATATATATATATATATATATATATATATATATATATATATATATACACAGTTTCTACAGTGCACTTTATTGTGTTAAATTGCACAATGTAGGCACTTTATTATATTAACTTTTAATATTAACTTTGCAATATTTTTAAAGATACAGCACAGTTTATTTTATTTTTTTTTGTCTAGCTATGTGTTTCTTTAGCTTTCACAAATTATAAGGTGCAACTATTATATTATTTTCTAATTTTATCCAAATAAATTTTTAGTGCCATACTTTTACTTGTTTTTTTTTTTTTCTTTTTCTTTTATACCAAAAATCTTGCATTCCCCATATTAATTTTGTGGCATGCCTCCACACTAATTTTAGTTCCATCACATATTACTTTTACAAGTTCTCAACATTGCACCATATATTTCAGATCTCAGAGACTTACAGATGCAATATTATATTTTTGTGTATGAATAATCCTTTTTATGCATGGCTCACATTTTCTAGTGATGACTGGTAGTTGCAATAACAGAAGGACACTTTAACATTATAAATAAATCAAAGATTTTAACTTTAGATATTTTTGCATGTACTGTTATATATTGACCTATAAATAATGATATGCTTTGGTATGAAACACACTTCGATTCAGACAGCAGCTGCATAGACTTGCAGGAACAATATTTGTTTAAGGATTCACTCCCACAACAATAAGGCAAGCAGTGCAAAGTCTATTTAGGCAGATTTCACCCTTACCATCCACATTTTAGGATGGAGTAATGCTTGAACAGAACATGTTAAATGGATATTTTGTAGTGGAGTTTGGCAACAAGTTATGAGCTTTTGATGAACTGCTAGTAAAGGATACAGAATGGTTTGGAAGTATTCAGAGGATCATGACGTGAAGTTGTCCAGAGTATTAAAGTAGAGATATGCACATAAGAATGTCTGTCTGCGCAACGATATGCCAGTTCATGAAGTTTGCACAAGAATTAGTATTAATACACAGATGAAATATAACTGAGTGTTTTTTGTTTACCTTGAGCAAAAAGGTCAATCTAAGATGCAGGTAGAAGTACAGCAGAGCCTTGAATAATGTTGCAAGGTTTGCTAAGAACAAAGTCCAGAGCCAGTAAGTCCCTCTGATAAATAAAGTAATACAATTTAATTCACTTAGTGAGCAATGTCATTATGTCAAAGCCGAGATCAGGATCAAGGAGTGGGCTGCAAAGAGGGTCTCCTTGATGGAACATGAACTGAAAAGCAACAAGTGTTCTCAAGCACCACAAACCAGGTAGAGACTCCATAGTCATGCAGTGGTTAATAGAAGACCTGTGTTTAAGCAAGTGATGGATACTGACATGATTAACCCTTACAATGGAGACATCCTGCTCATTTATATTTTCCCTTACTCTGCACGATATGAACTATAGGTTGTTTGTGCGTTCCTTATAACAAAATTCATGACTTTGTATTTATCTACATCAGGTGTGCCCAACAGACTGGAATTTTTTTATACCAGCCCTAACATTAATTGTGCCAACTGTGACAGATATACAGGTAGAAAAAGCCAAAAGATTGCAAATTATTTATCCAACAAGGAGCTCACTTACAGGACTTAAAAATAGACAAAAAAGCTGTTTATTCTAATCAGATGTGCAACATCTTACATCAATGTTTCATCCGAATAATCTTGAATAGTCCAATAACGGGAATGAAACATTGACTGAATGCCATGTCTGATTTAAATAAATTTTATTTTGTTCAGTTGTCAATCCTATGAGTGCACTGTTCGTTCGTGAATGAAAATTTAAAATTCCAAAAATTAGGCTACAATAGTCAAGCTATCGCTATAGCCAAGTTGGATTTTTCCATAATGCATAATACTCCCACAAATCACATAGATGAAGTAAAAGTATATTTAATTAATTTGTATTCAATTTATTTATTTAAAAAGAAAAACCTGATTTAAACAGGCACATATATTTTTAAATAATGGAAACTCACTGGGGCGCACACATACACACACTGACATACTCGTTAACAGACACTGGCACACAAACTAATGCTGTATCCCATACAAACACTGGCACACAACCACTAATGCATACATACACACTGTGACCCATACAAACACACTGGGACACGTTGATCCATGCTGACACAAATACCGTAATCCATACTGACACACACACAGTGATTCATACTATCACACCAACACACAGCACCGTGATCCATACTGACACAAACACACATAGTGACCCATACTGACACGCACTCACACATACAGTGACCCATACTGGCACACAGGGATTCATACTGACACACACACACAGTGATCCATATTAACACACACAGTGATCCATACTAGCATACACACTTCAAAAATACACACGAAACACACACAAAATAAACCCCCAAATATATACACTCACTCTAAGAATCAGTAAAATGAACATGAAATAGCTGAGCTCCACTGCTCACTGAGCCCACCTTGCTCCTTGAAATGGTCTGTGCTCAGCTCCTGCCTGAAACTCTGCTTAAACTGTTGAATTCTGCAGCTTCCTTCCAGCAGAAGGAGGGCAGTGCGGCTTAATTGTTCTGCTCTGATAGCAAGCAATAAAACGCAGAAAAGCTCCTTCCCAATAGCCTGCCTGTAGCTTTCTGGCAGGCCTCCCTGCCTGACAGCACTTCACACACAGGAAGCAAAACTTCAAAAGATCCGCGTGGGCTGCCCTGCTCTGCCTGATTGCCAGGTCACGTGCTTCCTGTGTGTGCAGGCTTTCAGGCAGGGAGCAGGACTGCCACCCACCCTGCACTTTCTCCAGGCTCCTGCCGGCTACTTATTGTGTTGCACTCGCGAGTGGATAAAGTAAAATGCCGACCTAGAGATGACAGAGGACTTCTACTCCTCCCCAATTTGATTGTGTACTGGTGGGGGGAGGAGAGACTGCTGCACTGTGCGGCCTCAAGGGCCCCGGTCCACTGGGAAATTTCCTGGTATCCTGGTGGGCCAGTCCGGCCCTGGTGCCCAAAAGATAGATCCCCAGATGTTTTAAAATGACGGCTTCCATGATGCTTTGCCAGTGTAAAGGCATGTAAAGTATCACAGGATTTGTAGTTCTGTAGTTCATAATCCCTGTGCAGTAAAGTAATATCCTACTAATTCTTTATAACCTTACCTAGTTTTGTGTAATATGCACTTGACTTTCAGTGCCTTTTACAATATAATTAATAGATTGAGAAGAGAAGAGGACCCAGAGACACCTCTAAGGAGAATCTACTTAACACTTTTGTCCAACTTGAACATGTGCACACATAATTACTCTCTGCAGTGTTTAAGCCAATGCAATTTAAGAATTAGAATTGTCATGTACATAAATTGTATAGTAACCTTTTGTGAGGAATCCTATCCAATTCTTTAGCAATCTTGGCATCTATACTAATAGTGATGTCTTTTTATAGAATTAATTTAAGTTAGTTTTATCTTTTATGTAAGATACAAGGCTTGTGCGATACACCAAAAGTTAAAGAAAACCAATAGGGTAAGGAACACAAGCATGTATTCCTGACCCTATAGTGTTTAATCTGCCATTTTAGGTGGCTTAACCCCTTAGAAGGGGTTAAAATTCACCTTTTTCCAGCGTTGCGTGGTTCTGCGGGGGCTGACCCTGCCTCCTTGGTGACATCAGAATTGACGATTTTTAAGCCAATCCAATGTTTTCCCATAAGGATTGGATTGGCTGAAATCGGCATGGGGGCGGGGTCAAATGCCGTTTTGGCCAAACCGCACCACCTCATAGAGATGCATTGAATTAATGCATCTCTCTGAGGAAATTTTAGCATCTCCATACAGAGCGTGGACATGCTGAACGGCAGTGCTACCTACTGTGCAGCACTGCCCTAGGAAATACCTCCAGGAGCCATCTGGCAGTGTTTGCATGAAAATGCCTAAAGGGAATGATTATACTCACCAGAACAGCTGCATTAAGTTGTAGTTGTTCTGGTGACTAAAGTGTCCCTTTAAGACAAAACTGTCAAAAGGTGTGTTTTTTTTTTTTATTTTTTTTTTTTTAATTTATTTATTTTTTAATGTATTTACTTTTTTCTTCCATTATTTAATCTTGTGTAAAGATAATTATATTATGTGTATTTGGCATTTTAGTATGTGTTTTATGTGACATACTTACACATAAGGTACATATTAGAGACAATACAAAATGTGACCAACAATTGCAGGAGGTGTTTAGGGCCTTATTACCATGGGACCTACAATCTACACTTATCAGCCACAACACTAAAACCACTTGCCCAATATTGTGTAGGTCCCCCTTGTGCTGCCAAAACTGCTCTGATGCATCAAGGCATGAATTCCACAAGACCTCTGAGCTTGTCCTGTGGTATCTGGTACCAAGACATTTGCAGCAAATCCTTTAAGTCCTGCAAGTCGCAAGGTGGAGACTCCATGGATTGGGTTTGTTGTTCCAGCACATCCCATCGGATTGAGATCTATGTAATTTGAAGGCCTTGAGCTCTTTATCATGTTCCTCAACCATTCCTGAACATTTTATGCAGTATGGCAGGGTGCATTATCCTGTTGAATGAGGCCACTGCCATCATAGAGCCACATTGCCATGAAGGGGTGTACGTTGTCTGTAACAATCTCTAAGTAGATGGTACGTGTCAAAGTAACATCTACACAAAAGTGCCAGAACCTGAGGTTTCCCAACAGAACATTGCCCAGAGCATAATACTACCTCCACCAGACTACATTCTTCCTATAGTGATCACTGCTGCCATCTCTTCTCCAGGAAAATGATGCACAATCACGTGGCAATGCACCTGATCTAAAAGAAGACATGATTCATCAGACCAGGCAACTTTTTTACATTGCTCCATGGTGGACAGGGGTCATCATGAGCATTCTGACCAGTCTACAGCTTCACAGATCTATATGCACTAAACTGCGATGCACTGTGTGTTCTGTCACCTTTCTATCCTACATGGTCTTTGTCTAGCTTGACAAAGACCATGTAGGTCGAAACGTTGTGATTTGGCTTTGGGTTCAAATAAATTGCCTTTTGTTGATATATTGGAGTGCATGGACCTTTCTTCATTTTCTACACAAGGTATTTGATTTCTTGGTACTGAGACATGGTTTGGTTGCACCCAGATTCATATGTATACAAGGATTGAGTGCAGTTCCACATTGTTGTTTTTTTACTTTTCTATCCTAGTCAGCAATTTGAGCTACAGAAGCCCTTCTGTTGGACTAGACAGGTTAGCTTTCATTCCCCATATGCATCAATGAACCTTTGGCGCCCATGACCCTGACACCAGTTCACCGGTTATTATATTCTACACCACTTTTGGTAGGTACTAATCACTGCATACCAGGAACTCGACTAGACTTGACGTTCTGGAGATGCTCTGACCTAGTCATATGGCCATCACTATCGATCTTTTTCGAAGGCAGTGTTTACATTGCTCCCTAGAAACACCTCTAGTGGCCACTCCTCAGACGGCCACTAGCATATCCACGCTCTGTAGATGAAGACACTGAAGTTTCCCCATAGAGATGCATTGATTCACTGTATCTCTAGGAGGAGGAGCTGATTGGCCAAGTTGGCACTTGGTCCCACCTTGAGAATTTAATTTGCAAGCCCTATATTTGACTGTGTAACATACCAAAGAACCATAAAACTTATACATGGAGGTTACTGTTATACTCATGAAATTTTACTAAATACAAATATGAGTGTTTTAGAGCAGTACAACTAATAATCAATAAAAAAATTATCTCATTCAGTGAATGTAAAGCTTTTGTGTGTTAAAAAAAGCAAATAAATATGAACACTAACTTTGGCCAGATTTTGTGACTAGGTGGCTACTAACAATGACTGATCATACCTTGTTTTGAATACTCTGGGTTGTCTACATTTACAAATGTTATGCTATGATGGGGGTAATTTTCATTTCTGCGCTGCAGTGTGGTCTCAATGGCAACACCGGCCCAGCAAAGCAATCTGGCAAATTTCAAAGTGTGAAAACTGAAAAGGAGAAAGTCCTAGATTTGACCTTGAACTTGCCAAAACATCATAAAACCTATACAGGGCGGGTTTCGTTGTACTAGTGAGACCTTGTTGAATACAAATATGTGTTTGTTTTATTGCAATAAAAGTGAACAGTATTTTGACATTCACCGTTATCAAAATGCCATGCAGAACAGAAAAATAACACAATTATTCATATTAATTTGGTTCCTCTATAAATGTGAATTTGATGTGAAATGAAATCCCTATTTTTCCTGAACAAAATTATATATAATAGGTGTGGTTGCACTTAATATGAAAGAGGTGGAAAATGGTTGAACAGACATTTTGCTTAAATTCTTGGTTTTGCTTTCATTTTGATTTGATCAGAACGTGTACTATTGGCTCTGTCCTTAAGGAGTTAATCATTCTGATTTCCTTTGATCACATCTCTTGTGGTTTGTTTTCTTAAGGAACATCAACTGACTTTTTTTTTTTTTTTTTTTCTTCACCCTCAACAGGTGCTTCAGTTTGAAAAAGCAAAAGACCTACACGTGGACTTCCAGTCACTTATCAATGACCTCAACAAGCCAGGCACGAATTACCTGTTGAGAACAGCTAATCGGCTCTATGGAGAAAAATCTTTTACATTTCTTGATGTACGTGTATACGCTTCTGATCAGTAAAGCTAGTTATCTACTTATTTATTAATATATTTATGGTTTGTCATATTTGTCAAAAATTAAGTGTATTTTACAGAATGCTCAGCATAATTTTTATACAGGGCCCAAAAGGTTCTATTGACTCACTCACAATGGACAAGTGAAAACTGAGCCAGGGCAAGCTGTTTTGGGGTTTAAATATCTGCTTACCCCTTCATCCTCTAGGTGTATTGCAGTTGACATGGACTCCACAAGCTTGGGAGCCTGCATACGTTGCCAGGGGCGGACTGACAACTCACAGGGCCCTTGAGCAATGGGAGATCAAGGGCCCCCCTTCTGGTGCAAGGTTTTTTGGCTACTTCTACTCTCCTACCCCTCCTTTGTGCAGCTCTCACACAGGTATTATGGGCATGCTGCGCAGCACCCAGAATAGTTGTGTGAGACGCGCACAGTCTTGACTCCCACACCTGCAGGGCCCCCAAACACGGCAAGATTTAAGTTTAAGGAGTTATTCTAACCAAAAAACGTGTTTTAGTAAAGCACTGTTTTTAGATGGAGTAACCCTTTCTGGAAAGTTTCTCCATTAAAATAAAGCAAATTTAATTACACGCTCCCATTGTGGGAGCAGGGAGAGAGAACTGCTCTAGAGGGTTGCCTGTGGACAAAGGCTGTAGTGGGTGTCTGGGGGTAGGGGCTGTAGTTGGGTGCCTGGGGTAGGTGAAGTGAGCAGGATAAGATACATTTTTAAGGGGGAAAGAATTGTTTATTCCCCTACCCCTTTGACCATGGACTGGGTGGGGGGGAATCTTTGTCCCAGGTGTCCCTCCAAAAATCCCTTGAGATGTTGGATGCTGCCTGTAACACTTATCAGGCATCTCTGCAAGCATGATGTCACTTCTTGCAGAAAGAGCTGCATGGAGCTGTCTGATGAGATACTGGCAGCATGCATACTGTGATCTCCCGGCAGAGGCTTTGATCCTGGAGCCTCTGCCGCATGCTAGAGACAGGCACCCTGAGAGGCAGCCTAGTGGGGTCTTTGGGAAGGCCCCTTAGCTGTGCCTCATTGTGTCCAGCAAGGGGGGGGGGACTTTTTAGCAGCAGGGACCCCTTACTGTTCAACTACCCAACTCAGCCATTCCTATATGCACCGTGACTGTTTTGCCTGAGAGCTCAGTCTGCCCCTGTACATTGCAAAGGAGCACAGAGATGCAATGAACTAGTTCTATGGATTGGGGAGGGTTGACATGGATGAAAACTTTGCGTGTGGGGAAAAGACACACTGAAATACTTAAAGGGACACTGTAGGCACTGTATCTGCTTCATCTCATTAAACTGGTTATAGTGTCTGGAGTCCCCTGGTACCATCGTTTCTTTCAGCATTAATCAGTTTTTAATGTTGTAATATTTCAATGCTAAACAAGAGTCCACGGCAGTCTATCCCCTCTGTGCTGCTTTGGCTAATAAGGAAGTATTACCCTGAGAGGCAATGGGCAGCTATGATTGGCTGAGTGTGTCAGCTGACTGCTTTTAACCTGTCAGAGCTCCAACTCACGGTATGAATGGGTATGACCACAAGGAAGTGTGTAATCTCTGCCTTAGCTACACATACAGAAGGGGCCGGACTGTGGGTGGCCAGGGACTCTTATTTTGTGGCATACTGCACAAACATGGTGCAACACTGAATGGAGGGACAGTGCCAGGCCACTCCAGGCACTATAACCAATTCAAAGAGACAAAGTGGTTATAGTGACTACAGTGTCCCTTTAAAGAATTGAATGTTATAACAAACACAGAAGTACACTTATAGATCAAACACATATGAAACGCCTTGTGAAGAAACCCCCGTGTTCTCTATGTTATTTACGGTTGCATTCCCTTTTTATCCCAATTTCTGCCTATTGCATTCGGTAGATGGAACTACCGAACAAGGACCACCCTCAGGCTCACTAATAATCAAAGGTCTGGGTGAAATTGCTACCTCTGTCTGTGCGGCCAGCGTTCGTTAGTCGAACGCCACGTGGCAGAGAAAACCGCGGCAGCGGGACCTGGTCGTCGAGTGCATGGAACTGTTTTACGGACACTCGACTTCCCGAACACCGGTCCCAAACAGACGAACGCTGGAACTCTATTTACCAAATAGCTAGAAGAGCGCTATTCGGTACTTTGGTGCATTCGACAGAGGGGCACGAACACTGCTAGGAGCCAGAGGGATCCATTCGGTATCTTTATTCGTTTTTATGCTTTTTCGAAAGTGACTGGCAAAACCCACCAAATTCGTGGAACTGTTTTGGGCATGCAGCCCAGGGTGAGCCGGTCACACAAGACTTCCATAAAATCCACGAACCCCTGAACCGATCTGGGTGAAAATCGAATATGTTGGTCACCCAGATCAGGGCTATCAGGGGACACATAATTTATGGGGATACCCCCAGTATAAAGGGGTGTTCTGAAAGTTGGGGGAAAATTACTTTTCAGCCCGGAGATAATTAAGTTACTAGTTTATCAGACTAAATTATCTCCTGGGCTAGGGGAGGGAATTGTAGGTGTGTGTTAACATTTTACTGTTTGTGATTGGTCATTGTTTGTCACTCCCTGAGCGCTGTCCCCTTGCATGCGGACTTGCATAAAAGATGTGTGCACCCATTAAAGGACAGTTCATTTTGTACCCTTCTTCTTGACTTCGGCTGATGTTTGGGGATTCGTGTGTTTCACTGAGGGAATTATTTGGTGAGACTATTGGAATTGCTATAGGATTCGTCTACCCTAACTACCGAACGGAGGGCTATAATTACTAAGGCTCTGGCAGTTCGGGAGGAAACTACCGAATGAGGTTTAAATATACTTGGTTTCCTTACAACTGGTGGCAGTGGTGTGATTCGAATCCCGAATGGATGTTTCAAACAAGCAAAGGAATGAATGGCTCAGCAGTACCAGCGACTTAAGAGAACCACGCTAAAGGATTTACTGGAAGCTCGAGGCGTAGTGGCAAGTAACAAAACAAAAGCCACGTTAATTGCAGAGCTGTTAGAGAGCGACAGAACCAGCAATACAGAAATGGAGCATGAGGAAGAAACTGAGATACAGAAGTACATCAGATGGATGCTCAGTTTATTGGGACCTAATCCAGCAACAGAGGCGGTTCTGCAGGTCATGGCACAAGCCAGGCATTCGCAGAAGGAGCGAGATGACCGAGACAGACCGCTACAGGGGGATTTGCTACACTCCCCGGGAAGTACAAGTGACATACCAAGGAAGGTAAATTATGCTGCATTTAAAATTTTTAATGATAATGAAATGGAAATTGATAGTTATCTGTAGGATTTTGAAAGACAATGTGCACTAGAGGGATTACTCCATGAAATGGGCTGCTGTACTTGGCAGCAAGCTGTCAGGCAGCGCAGCAGAGGCGTTGCGAGCAGTACCTGATGGGGACATACATAACTATGAGAAAGTAAAAGACATTTTGTTGGCCAGATATGCTGTAACTCCAGAGGCATACAGAAAGAAATTCCGAGAGTTGAGGAAAGCAGGAAGGGATTCCCATACTGAATGGGCATTCCGACTACACAGGGCAGCCCGTAATTGGATGCAGGGCTGCCAAGCAACTACCCTTGAGGATGCCCTGCAGCTCATACTATTGGAGCAATTCTTTAACCACACAGCAGATGACATTAAAGACTGGGTAAAAGACAGGAAGCCTAAAACTGTGGAGGAGGCAGCCAGATTGGCAGATGAGCACCAAGAGGAGGAGAGAACAAGTGGTATGTCGACCTGTTTTTAAGCAACCCTATCCAGCACCAGCAACGTCTGCACCACCTAGAGCTCCCCTGAGTAACCCGCTACACAGCTCAGCAGCAACACCACGACCCCCTGCACTGTGCCATTATTGCAAGCAACCGGGACACTATAAAAACCAGTGCCCTTGTTTTAACCGGGGAAGCTGGGTAAGGCAACAACCCAGGGCCGCTGCTCATTGTGTACAGCAGGAGAGTGCACCTTTTATTCCTAAACAGGAAGAACAGTGGAGTGTGTTACGTGAGGTCAACCCCGTGCAAGCTGGGGGAGACAACAAGGACCACCACCGTCAGTGGATTACAGTAGATGGTGTGGGGGCCCGAGCTTTGAGAGACTCTGGGGCCACTCTAACCGTGGTACAACCCCACACAATCAAGGCCCAGACTCGCACCGGTCACACCGTGGCTGTAAGAGTGGCTGGAGGTGCCATCCACAAATTGCCTACAGCAAAGGTCCTTGTAGATTGGGGTGCGGGGTCAAAACAATTGGAGGTGGACATTATGCAGGAGCTGCCAGCCGAAATATTGTTGGGGAATGATGTGGGCTGTTTAACCTCCCAATTAGCACGAGACACTTTGTCCGAAGCCTACCCGGTTACCACCCAAGCTCAAGCCAGACTGGAAGCACCGCTGCACTCTGAGGAAACCCAGTTGCCCGACCCCCCTTCCCCGTCCTGGGATACGCCCCAGGGGTTTGAGCAGGAACAGAGAACAGACCCCACTCTAGACGGGTATAGGAAGGCAGTAGATGGTAATAGGGGAGACAACCCACATGAAAAGTTTGAGTGGCACAAAGGACTGCTGTATAGGGTGACAGAAGGGGCGGGACACGGGACCACGCAGGTTACTAAAAGGCAGCTGGTAGTACCCCGCAAGTTTCGAGCCGCGTTATTAGAGTATATATTCCTCTAGCGGGACATTTGGGGGTTAAGAAAACCAGAGACCGGTTGACCCAAACATTCTTCTGGACCAGAGTCACGCAAGACCTTAAATATTACTGCAGGACATGTGACATTTGCCAAAAAAATAGGGAAACTGGGTGACCACCAGAAAGCTAAACTCCACCTGTTACCCATTATAGAAGAACCTTTTCACCGAGTAGCTGTGGACTTAATAGGACCCCTCAGCTGGCCCAGTCAGTCCGGCAAAAAGTTCATCCTTACCGTAGTGGACTATGCCACTAGGTACCCTGAAGCCGTAGCCCTGCCTAATATAGAGGCAGAGACCATGGCCGAGGCCCTGGTCAAAATATTTTCCCGGGTAGGTTTTCCCCAGGAGATCCTATCCGACCGGGGGACTCCGTCCACAGCTCTCCTGACACAACAACTGTGGCAGAGCTGTGGAGTGAAAGCCCTATTTAGCGCTCCCTACCACCCCCAGACCAATGGACTTTGTGAACGTTTTAATGGCACGCTCAAACAAATGCTGAAGACGTTCGCAGAGTCCTGCAGGAATTGGGAAAGGTATCTTCCCCATCTTCTGTTTGCCTACCGTGAAGTGCCCCAGGCATCCACGGGGTTCTCCCCCTTCGAACTCCTGTTCGGGAGAAAAGTTCGGGGCCCCCTGGATCTTGTACGGGAACACTGGGAGGGCAACACAGATGGTGGGTGGAGTCCCTATCGTTCAGTACGTAATGGAGTTCCGAGACCGACTGCGGACCCTCACTGAATCAGTTCTGGAGAATATGCAGGCGGCTCAGGACTACCAGAAGAAGTTGTATGACAGGGGTGCCCGAGATAGGGTCTTAGACATAGGCCAGAAAGTGCTAGCCTTGCGGCCCGCAAAGAAAGACAAGCTGCAGGCGGCCTGGCAGGGGCCCTTCAAGGTGGTAGAGCAGAAAAGTGATACCATCTACATTGTGAGTAAGTGTTCAGATGAAAGGCTGACCAAAGCCTTTCATGTAAACATGCTCAAACCGTATTACGAGAGAACGGAAGATGTGGGCGCAGTATGTGCCCCCTCCTCAGAAGATAGTGAGGGACTTCCCCTCCCTGATCTGTTAGACCCCTCGCCTTGTAGCATTGACCAAGTAAGCCTAGGTCAGAACCTTAAACCTCTAGAGCGAGGGGAAGCGTCGCAACTGCTCCAGGAATACCAGGACATGTTTTCCGCTATACCTCCGCTGCAGTACACCGGGTAGAAACCCAGGTAGAAACGCCGCTACGGCAGCAGCCCTATCGTATTCCTGAGGCAGTTCGTGAAAGTATGCTCACAGAAATCAGAGACATGCTCAAGTTAGGGGTAAGAGAACCCTCTCAAAGTCCTTGGGCATCTCCGGTAGCACCACGCGCTTCTGTGTAGACTATCGGAGGCTCAACGATCGCACCATAACTGATGCCTACCCAATGCCCAGAATAGATGAGTTACTAGACCGTATGGCTGGGGGGAATTACTTAACCACCCTGGACTTGTGCAAGGGGTACTGGCAGATCCCCCTGGAGACTGCAGCCATAGACGATATTGCTGTCTACAGCCGCACATGGGGAGATCACCTGGGACACATATCCAGGGTGCTCGAGCGAATTCACCAGGCAGGGCTCACATTAAAGCCTGACAAATGTCATGTCGGCATGGCTGAGGTACAGTACCTTGGCCACAGGGTAGCTTCCGGTAAACAGCGGCCCTTTCCAAAGTAAAGGCCATAGCGAATTGGCCCCAACCCCGGACCAAAACCCAGGTCTTAGCCTTTTTAGGAACCGCCGGCTATTGCCGGAAATTTGTCCCCGAGTATAGCGCCCTGGCCAAACCCCTCACTGACCTCACCAAAAAGGCCCTCTCAAAACAGGTAACCTGGACCCCAGAGTGCGCGGAAGCGTTCCAGAAACTAAAAGCGGCTCCTGTGTTGACAGCACCCGACCACTCTAAAAATTTCTTGTCCACACAGATGCCTCCATGTTTGGGCTGGGAGCCGTGTTAAGCCAGGTGGGAGACAACGGCATGGAACACCCAGTGGCCTACCTCAGCCGTAAACTTTTGCCCAGAGAGGTCAGCTATGCCACTGTGGAGAAAGAGTGCTTAGCCCTAGTGTGGGCGCTTAAGAAACTTCAACCTTATCTGTACGGCCGGCCATTTACTCTTATGACAGATCATAACCCGCTGGTGTGGTTAAATCGGGTGGCTGGTGACAATCCCAGGCTATTGCGGTGGAGCCTAGCACTTCAGCCATACAATTTCACCATGCAGTACCGTCCGGGCAAACAAAATGGTAATGCAGACGGTCTGTCCTGCCAGACCGACCTGGATGCTCAAAAGACTCTTTCTCGGACATCCCCAAGCCAACCTGACAGGGTCTAGGCGGGTATGCCGACCTATGGACTTATAGGGGAGCAGTGTGATGTTATTTACTGTTGCATTCCCTTTTTATCCAAATTTCTGCCTATTGCATTCGGTAGATGGAACTACCGAACAAGGACCACCCTCTGGCTCACTAATAATCAAAGGTCTGGGTGAAATTGCTACCACTGTCTGTGCGGCCAGCGTTCGTTAGTCGAACGCCACGTGGCAGAGAAAACCCTGGCCATCTTTGTTCATGTGAACAAAGGCAGCAGAGCCTGGTCGTCGAGTGCATGGAACTGTTTTACGGACACTCGACTTCCCGAGCACCGGTCCCAAACAGACGAACGCTGGAACTCTATTTACCGAATAGCTAGAAGAGCGCTATTCCGTACTTTGGTGCATTTGACAGAGGGGCACGAACGCTGCTAGGAGCCAGAGGGATCCATTCGGTATCTTTATTCGTTTTTATGCTTTTTCGAAAGTGACTGGCAAAACCCACCAAATTCGTGGAACTGTTTTGGGCATGCAGCCCAGGGTGAGCCGGTCACACAAGACTTCCATAAAATCCACGAACCCCTGAACCGATCTGGGTGAAAATCGAATATGTTGGTCACCCAGATCAGGGCTATCAGGGGACACATAATTTATGGGGATACCCCCAGTATAAAGGGGTGTTCTGAAAGTTGGGGGAAAAGTGATTTTTTTTTTTTCAGCCCGGAAATAATTAAGTTACTAGTTTATCAGACTAAATTATCTCCTGGGCTAGGGGAGGGAATTGTAGGTGTGTGTTAACATTTTACTGTTTGTGATTGGTCATTGTTTGTCCCTCCCTGAGGGCTGTCCCCTTGCATGGGGACTTGCATAAAAGCTGTGTGTACCCATTAAAGGACCGTTCATTTTGTACCCTTCTTCTTGACTTCGGCTGATGTTTGGGGATTTGTGTGTTTCACTGAGGGAATTATCTGGTGAGATTATTGGAATTGCTGTTGAATTCGTCTACCCTAACTACCGAACGGAGGGCTATAATTACTAAGGCTCTGGCGGTTCGGGAGGAAACTACCGAATGAGGTTTAAATATACTTGGTTTCCTTACACGCCTAATTATTTATAGTGATTTGCAGTAAACCTCATCCATTGACTTCACAGAAATGATAAATGTGAAACACAAATGCATACAAAATACCACAATGTTTGCTGAATACATACTGTGAAATACTTAACTTCTCAGATGATGTGATCTATCTCTTTAAAACCTTTATTGCATATAAAACACTAAAAAAGTGCTGAGTGCCAGCTCATAGTATTGAGAGTACTAGAATCTGAGCCAAATAGACCCAGCTCTAGTAGGAACACTTGGTTAGCATGTCTATTTCCTCAAGTATATATTTCTTAGTCATCAATAGTAAAGCAAAAGAAAAAAGATGGACAGTGTGACTACAAATAATATTTATGAGCAAAATGGCACATTAAAATAACGAAAAAACTATACCATGGGGTATGGGATTGTACGGTCAAAGCACAAATATCTGGAGCTGATTTCAAGCTCTAGAAGATTTACTTTTTTTTTTTTTTTTACTCACCTGTATCAAAAATACTCCTCCATATTCCGTTTTATTTGTCCTCTTGTTTTGCATATCGCTCCATCTTTATTTGAGTTGAGAGGACAGTTGTAAAGGTGCTGGTTTCCTGCATTTCCTTTCTATATCACATGAGTTAGTTTATAGAATATATGAGAAACTAAGGGTTTGGCTGCACTCACCTACACATGCTAAATTAGGGTGCTGCTGGGGGCCAATAAATACAGTAAAAATGAAAATCCAGCGCACTCGCTTATCTAATAGACAGTCATTTTAATGCTGAACAATTCAGCATTCAAAAAGATCCTGTTTAAGCATTGTACTGCAGGGACCTCGAGATGGAAGGATTTCCCCAAGTGAGAAGCTCATTTAGCAGACAGAGTAGGACCTGCCAAAGATGGGGTACATTGGCGTTGTGGCAGGCTTATGCAATGGTTTATCATATACTGTAACTAAACCCCCATTATATATTTTTTGCCTAGATTAGGTGTTTTTAATAAAACTGAAAATTGTTCAGCATTTAAATGACTGTTTAGTAGATAAGCAAGTGCGCTGGATTTTCATTTTTAGCTTATAGAATAAGCATGTGCAGTTTCTAATCTGGCAAAGAAGTGTGAGCAGACACAGCGAAGGAGAGGATGGGGAAAAAAACCCCTTTCATTTATTTAATAGTATAGGGAGATGGGGACAGCGGTAGGTCTAAAACAAGGTGTTAGGTGGGGAGGGAGGGGATATAGTTGCTTTTCCTTGCAGGCATGCTCCCAGCCCTGCTTGAAGGGAGGAAGCTGACTATGTTTGTAGCAAGTGCTTAGTACATGCCTGCAACATACTTATTTTATGCACAGAACTGACACTAAGCAGTCCGAAACAAAGAGGGGTATAACTAGCTCCCGGCACAAATGTTCAAATATGTCTGGATATGGAGTGTTTCAAGCTGAAACGTTGCACATACAGATTCATGATGCATTTTGAGGTGGCAAGTAAATTCGTAGCAGATACAGGGTGGGGGTTAAATATTTGCAGATTGTTCTACCAGTGTAAATTAAATGTAACTCATTCTATACCTTGCATGTTATTAGGAATTTCTTGGATCGACTATGAAATACTACCTTGCAGATTTAAAGTCTGTAGATTTTTGTGGAAAGTCTGAAGACTCCAGGAAGGAAATAAATGACTGGGTGGCACAAAAAACCGAAGGTAAAAATAATAAAAAAAAATACAACTTTCAGAAAGCCGTAGAAGGTGGGGTTTATGTTTTATATAAAATAAAATACATGCTCCAGTAGTGATATTCTATTTAAATCAGTGATTCAGACATTAATCATTAACTTGCATCTAATTGTCAGAATTATTTATTCCCCTTGCGTTTTATCTTTGACTTACTTGCCTTTCGTCTACGTAAACAATACACATACTGGTTAGCCGTGTGTGGAAGACAATAGAGCTTGCATGCACCAAATGTCTTGGAATGGAGCCAAACCTCATTTTTTGCCACTTTGTTTTGCCTGTGGCTATTTGTTTTAAATATTTGCCCTGCCATGATCTATATTACTGCATTAAATCAAAACTGTCACTTATATCACACAATAAAAATGAAAATCCAGTTCAGTCAAGCAAAGCCATGGAAAACATTGTAAATAAGAAGTAGAAATAGAAACAGTGTTTAATTCTCCTCCTCTGTGTATGCTTTCTCTGTGTGGCCTGCCATGCGCAAGGGACAGAGCTTATAACCGTAATTGACTTGGTTCTAAGACGAGTCAGTCCATAGGAAAGCATTTCTCAATTCTTTCCTATGGACGACAGCGTCTTCTCACGGTAAAAATCACAGCCACTATATCAATGAGACAGCCACTAGAGGCTGTATTAACCCTAATGTAAACAAAGCAGTTTATCTGAAACTGCTATGTTTACAGCTGCATAGTTAACCCTAGATGGACCTGGCACCCAGACCACTTAATTGAGCTGAAGTGGTCTGGGTGCCTATAGTGGTCCTTTAAGTTCTGCCTGTCTTTATCAAATGTAACTTTGCATTAACACTGCTATTTAATAGCAACTTTATCATTGGATGGTTTTAGGTTCCAGTGTATAAGGATTATGCATATTCACTAAATTGTGTATTTGCTAAACATAATTAGAAAACAAAACAGCAGAAGTAAGTGTAGACCTGTGCTGTCTTCACTATTGTGGGGTTAAACCATTTGTAAAATGTAATACAGTGCCCAGAGTGCTAATTTAAAGTAAGCACTTTAAATTTGCAACAACAGAATCTTATTAAATATGGCACAAAAATATTCTGTCTAAAGTCCATCCTTTGGAAAAGGAGAGAGTTGGATTTGCACACTGTAGTGCATATGTTGCCTATAGTACCATCACAGCCCTCAGTGTGCGTAGTCAAACCATTCAGTAATGGTTTGACGTCTTAACTGGGGTCTACCTAGCGTAACTCCCTACCTCCACTGCATCCTCCTCTCAGCTATAAGATCTGAGCTAAGCCTGGTAGAGCAGTAGTGGGTATGGTGCTTTAACCCCTTAAGGACCAAACTTCTGGAATAAAAGGGAATCATGACATGTTACACATGTCATGTGTCCTTAAGGGGTTAAGTGTTCCTTTATATGTGAAGTACTGATAAGTAGTGTGTATATGTAACTTGGAACCTAGAAATTTGCGCATCTGTGCAGATATGTCTTAAATGTTCTAAAAGGTAGACATTTTATAGGAGCCATAACTTGGTCTTTTGTCCATACTTTAGTAAAACTATTCAATGAGACTATTCTGTTTAATTTATAACTTTTAAATTTTGTGTTATTTCAGGTAAAATCCAGGACCTATTACCAAGTGGTAGTGTGGATTCTCTGACCAGACTAGTACTTGTGAATGCAATTTACTTTAAAGGAAACTGGGCAAACCAATTTGAAAAGCAGCGCACAAGCGAAATGCCGTTTCGACTCAGCAAGGTACATGTTTAGCATTTTATAAACTGGTTTGCATGGTTCATTAATTATAGAAATGGAAACATGTTGCTTTACTTTAAAAAAAAAAATAATGCAATTACTTGAAGGGAGTGATCACATTTCTATCTATGTCGTTTTATGGTTTATTCAACCTGAATTAGGAATATGGTTTTGTCAGACCAAGCAGAAAGGCATAGAAATCTGATCTACATCGGCCATTTTGAGTAAGCAATATTTAATTATTTAACCTCTTTCATGTGTAGATACACTGCTTATTCCAGGATTCCTTCTATTCTTGAAGTATTGATAGCATATGGAGATCCGTGAACAATGACTTGAGTAGGATATCTTTTCAGAAGTCTTTTCAGAATGTTTGTCTGGGAGCATGTGGTTCATTATGCATTAATAGTCCTGTCTTTCTTCTGCGCATAGATAGCTACCTTTTTATCTGTTATTTAAATGGAAATAAAGAGCTCTGTCACATGTCTTTACATATTGTGGATCCCTAAAGCTAATGAGTCCTAGGACTACTAAGTGTTAAACTATATAGTATGTATCATGCCTCTCCCTTGCGTTCTTATTTGTCATTACCTAAAATTTCTGAATCAGACAGAAATTTTGTATATAAGGATGAAGGTTATATCTGGATTGACCAATCATTTGGTTTATGTAAGCATAGAGTGAAAAGACAAGTAAGCAAAAAAAACAACAACGTGATAATCATAACATAATCTGTTTTATTAGACATGTTTCTTGACATGTGAACCAGTTAAACCATTACCAATGCATACTCAGAGGTAGAAATTAAATGTATTTACTATGTTGCATTGATGAGATGATGTTGTATCCAGAGATTGTACCGTAGTTATGAAGCTGCAAAAACAAAGTATCTGAAAACAAGCAAAAACCAATTGGCTTTTCCTTGGGTGGTCTTTGCACAGATCACATACAAGTTTTAGCTCGATTGTGCCATTATAGAAAGAATCTTAATCGTTCTTATATCAGACTGATCCCATCCACAAGAGTAGTCCAGTTTGAAAATGTTGGCTAGCCCCCCTGCATTTGACAGATGAAGTTAGAAACCAAGGATGGCTGAATCAGAAGTTTAATATGTGTGTGTGTGTGTATGTATGTGTGTATGTATGTGTGTATGTATGTGTGTATGTATGTGTGTATGTATGTATGTATGTATATATGTATATATGTATGTGTGTGTGTGTGTATATATATATATATATATATATATATGTATATGTGTGTGTGTGTGTATGTGTATATGTGTATATATATGTAGATAGAACTAAATGATAAACTACTGAATATAGGTAAATATTAATTTAGAAAGCTTTTTCGTGATTACGGTGGATATAAAAGCTATTACAGAAGGTTGGTACTTAAGCACTCTAGGAATGGTTATTTCGATTTATGTATCATGATAATACATCATTCTTTCATAACCCGTTCCTATTTAATTCATTTATTAACATGAATGTCCCAATATATTATTATATAATATAGTATCTCAACTATGATGAATCTACTTCAGTTCTTCAGAGTTGGCTGCATGAACTTCACATTATTGAAGGCTATTAGTATACTGAAGGCATATGGTGTGTCGTTAGAAACTCTTAAGGAATCTATAAACACACACAAAATGTACTGTAAAATTGTTAGAATAAGTGTTTTCTGTACAGTCTATGGATATAGTAATTTTGATATTTTTTTTTTTCATTTTTTTTTTTTAGAATGAATCAAAACCTGTACAGATGATGTACAAGAAAGCTAAATATCAGATGACTTATGTTGGTGATTTGTTGACCAAAATTATTGAGATACCTTATGTTAATAATGAACTCAGTATGATTATACTTCTCCCCGATGACATTGAAGATTCAACAACTGGACTTGAAAAGGTAGGAAATTTCAATATAAAGCGCTTTTCTAAAATGTTTGTTTTTTATTAAAAATTAACTAGATCTTCTATATTGCCAATAAGTTTTCATTCAAAACATTTGTTGACAAAATGTTTGCTTGAACATCTCTGTTTAAAACTCAGACTTGTGTAAAGTGTTTGCATTTTTTGTATCATATACTTGACAAAATCATGCAAAAACACAAATATCTGGTGTTTCAATCCTTTAATGAGACTAATCTGGTCTGCTTTGAAGATTATTTTTGTTCTTGCCTTGTATAGAGATTGTTTATCAATTTGTAGGCAGCCTTTAACCATGTTATCATGGTTCAGTGTTTTTGTATAATTATTCACCCACATTTTGTTGTATTGCAACATGGAATTCCAAGGGAGAGAGAGAATTTGATTCTAACAATATACCTTAGATTTTGAAAGTACAAATATTCTTATTGTGACAAATTTAACAGAAAATATTTTTTAATTGTTAATGTTTGTATTACTCCTCCGTCGAAGTTTGGTAGAATGAGCTTCAGTTGTAATTACAGCTTTAAAGGACCAATATAGTGCCTGGAAAACAAACTGAGGGTACCCCCACACTCCCGTGGCGCTGAAGGGGTTAATCCCTTACCTTTTTTCCAGCGCCGGGCTCTCCTCCCTCTTCTGATGTCATCGGCTGAATGCGCATGAGCGGCAAGAGCCGCGTGTGCATTCTGCCAGTCTCATAGGAAAGCCTTCTCAAGGCTTTCCTATGGACGCTGGGGGTCTTCTAACTGTGAAAATCACAGTGAGAAGCGCCTCTAGCCGATGTCAATGAGAAAGCCAGTAGAGGCTGGATTAACCCATAGGTAAACATAGCAGTTTCTCTGAAACTGCTATGGTTACAGCAGAAAGGGTTAATCCTAGAGGGACCTGGCACCCAGACCACTTCATTAAGCTAAAGTGGTCTGGGTGCCTATAGTGGTCCTTTAAGTTTTTGAGGTACAATTCTGCCAGCTCTGCACATCTGGAACCATGCTATTTTTGACCATTCATCATGGCAAACCTGGTCAAGCTTTGTCATTTGTGGACTCTTGCTCAACTGCATTTTCTTTCAATCTTTTCAAGCTTTCCAGCATGACTTTGGCTATGTGTTAAAATGGTATTGTACCAATCTTGGGTGTTTTGATGTCATAAACTGTTTTTTTTTTTTTTTTTGTTTTGATGTCATAAACTGTTTTTGTTTGTGTTTTTTTTCTGTCTGTTTTGCCCTCTATCTGAACAGTTTCACAGGTGCTGACAATCAAAGTTGATTTAGAAAGTATTATCAACAACTACTGAATCACTTTAACCCCTTTGGCCAGAGACTTTTACATTACAGGGCCCTAATCTGGATCTCCATTTATTGCAAATTCCTGGGTCCCATCTCTGTCTTCTCAGTTGCTTGGATGGTTGGGAAGAGACTCACCTGACCTTACCTTGTTTCTTGTGTTTTCCCCTTCAGCATCTGTATTCAATATCTGTTTTTCTTTGCTTTTATTTTATTCTTTACAAAACATGCACAGTTTGTCTGATTATTATATTAACTCTCATTGACAAAATGTGTGGTGAAAAAAACACTTTCTACAATGCTTAACCTAAACACCAACACATAAATTAAGTGATATTTCGGATCTCCAGTACCTCATATTAACAAGGGGGTTGCGGGGGGGGGGGGATAGGGGGGACACTTCTCAGACAGTGGAGATTATCAGTACCTCCTACCATCAAGAGAAAGTCATTTAAGCTGCTACCAGTACCCTAAGTACTACTGGTGAGTTTACGTACCATGTGGAATGTTGCACAACTTTGTAGTAATTAATAATAATAACTGGGAGTCAGGTGTCCTCTTATGTAGTGCTTCTCTTATATAAGAAAAAAAATCTATATAAAGCCAATCAAGATCATTTTGCAAGAGGTCTTCTTTCCTGTGAGTGCTCTGTCACAATAAGCACAGGAAGGATAGAGACCTTGTCTGGAGTCAGAAGTTTTTGAAAGTTTCCAGATATGGGCTGCCGCGTTTCATGCTTCATGGTGTAGTATTGGTTATTCTCTTTATGCCTATGTGTCAGCCTGGTAATTTCAGGTTTTCAGGAGTTAGACCTCCCCAGCCACCATTTGCACCTTTCCCTGGGTGCCCCTGGTTTGGCACTTTCCCTTCATTCAAATGGAACCGAACACTAGCTCCCTGGCGTCCATACTTATGAAGAAAGCACCAAATTTTCCTCAGCAGTACTTAGCCATGATCGTCATGGAACTGTTTTCGGCATGAGGTGACTGTTTGGCTCCCAGACAACTTGGTCCGGAGCGCCCTATATTTCGGACTCAGTAACTCGCAAAAGTTGACCAGCCAAAGCACCAAACGCCCTGGAACGGTTTTGGGCATAGGACCACGTGTGCAGCTGGTCAGAACTTTAACACAGTGGCGTTTCCTCTACACTGCATGGATCTGAGCGCAATTTGGAGAACTTGCGCACTCAGATCAGGGCTATGGGGGATGTATTTGTGGGGTTATTTTATGTTTTTATGATGTTATGGGGTACGTTTATGTTTTTATATTTTTAGGTTTGCCTCTCTGGAAGAGAATTAGCTTACCAGTCTTTAAGGCAATTATCTCCCAGGCACTGAGATTTATGGGAGGGGCTTGTCTTACATTGAAGGGCGACCCCATGCTGGGGACTGTATATAAAAGCAGGCAACTTGACCATATTAAACCAGTTCCTTTACACCTTCACTGAGTCTCGAATAGTGTTTGGGTGTACCAGCTATATTCTCTGCAGGAGTGCTTTAATCACTAGAAGCAGGATCAGCGACCCTGTTCTAGGGTGGCTAGGAGCTGAAGTGCTGATGGTGTCCCGGCGATAGCTAGGGAGCGTGCTTGGCGGAGGAATACCGTTGGGGTACCAGGTGGTCCGCCACATTCATTAAGTGGAATGCACTATTAAGTAACATTTGACCATTACTTTACTGACATAGCTTCTTTATTGCAGCACTCTGGGATGTTCATGCAGTTTAATATTGCATGGGACAGTGGGTAGAAGTTTGTTGCCACTAAAACTTTTATGCTTCTATTTTGCAGTATATTCGTGCAAAATGTTTTTTTTTTTATTATTATTATTAATTAATTTATTTTTTAAATTTGTTTGTTGTTCCTTCTTTTTGGCACTACTGTGTGCCTCATGCAAACCTCCTCTTGAATTGTGGCAATTTTACGTAATCATTTCACATGCATTGCTGTGTTTCCTGCTCTCCTCACAGTGCTGTTAATCTCTGGACTGCCAATTTGCTCATCTGCTTTTGGATATATGAGCCTATACTCTACCCCTGCATTCCTGGAGTTTGTGTGTGTGGGGGTTTTTTTTTGCCTCTATGGGACATAGTAACTGTGTTACTTTATGGAAACAACTGGGAAAGTTTTCATAGATCTCGTCTGAAGCCATTGCAAGCCCTCCCTTTCTTCTCCACCTCAAAATTTCTTTGGCTGTCCCATCACAGACTTCTCAAGTTCAATGCGAAGTCTATGCAAGGCAGGTGCTCTAAGCAATTGCCTGCCTCTTGAGTTTAGCTCCACTGAGCTAAACAACCAGGAGGAAACCGGACCGGTTGTCTAAGTGGCACCTTGCAGGGGTTTGAAGTGTTCCTTTAATAGGAGAGTCAATATTTGACAAAGAGCTGCGTCCTGTCTGGTTCCCCAGATTTCTGGGCAAGAAATCAAATTTAAACTTTTTTTTTTTCAATTATTGCTGACCTTCAAAAACTTGAAATTTGAGGACCAGTTCTATGGTTTTTGTACAAAACCATACATATTCTAACACCGTATTGACATTGGTTGCCTAACTTGCTACATCAGTGATTTGCTGCTAATAAGGTCCGGAGGCAGAACTTTTGGCAATCTAACAGCATCTCAAACCCTTACCTACCACTGTTAAATTATTTTTGAATGAAATAAGATGCCAGTTAAATTGAATTCCTTGACTTGTTGATCTCCTGCAAGGGTACTCACCTTGGGTATTCTCTATACAAAAAAATAAAAAAAATGAACGCTCTGCTTTACAGATAGCTTTCATCTTAAAGCTCTTAAAAATTGCCTCCCGGTGTCACAGTTCCTTTGGTTACCTTACCACTTCACATGTGAGACTCAGTTACTTGAAATGCACAGTCGATTCCTTGAAAGAGTTTACAAACTCCCCATGTTGGATGAAGCATTGGCCAATAGTGATGTCGCGAACCGTTCGCAAACTTTTCGCGAACGGTTCGCCATGAACCGTTCGCCGCGAACTCCGGTCAGCTGACACATCCCGGCCAATCTCCAGCAGATCCTCCCTCCCAGACCCTCCCACCTCCTGGACAGCATCCATGTTGAAGCTGCCTTCAACATGGATGCTGTCCAGGAGGTGGGAGGGTCTGCTGGAGATTGGCCGGGATGTGTCAGCTGACCGGAGTTCGCCACGAACTGTTCGTGGCGAACCGTTCGCGAAAAGTTCGCGAACGGTTCGCGACATCACTATTGGCCAACAATAGTTATCACTTTTTGGAGAACTCCCGTTCCAAGCATACACGCGTACAGACTTGCAACACTTAGTCTCCTGCCTTGAAACACATTGTTTAGAAACCACATATGTTCTCTTAAGAACAAGAGCCTTCCAACTTGGTTTCAAGATTAACCTGTTACAAGCTATAAAAGAAGTGAAGTGCTTCAAATACATTTTAATATGCAAAAGAATACTCACCAGCACCAGTTGCTTTACATGCCTGGGATGTGTCATTTATGACCCCAGACAAAATCTTTAATCATCCATACTATCCATATTGCCCTGCAAGATGAGACAGTCTGATAAATGGATAGCTTGACTTTTTTTTTCTTTTTTCTACTTGCTGGTCATTCGCCTGATACTGATATATTTGTATACAATTACATTGTTTGACTTTACACAGTGATGAAAGAAAATAGTTTCATACTTTTCTTTTCCTGATCATTATACATGGCCGCATTTACTTATGGGTTAGGTCCTCCCCTTTACAGGAGAAAGGACAAGAAATACATTTCTGAAATTGGTATCAACAGATTCACACCTTCTTCATCTTTTTGTAACTAGTTAGTTTTATATCTAACATAGTAGATGGGTGGGAACGTAATGATTCCATATATAATGATCTGGAAAAGATAATGACGGTGCTTAAGTTTCCAAAGCCCATTTACTAGTTACATTCCTTATCGACTGGTAAATAATTATTTTTCTAGGTTGAAGTTTCCTGCTCAGGTAGAGTTGAATGCTCTTCATCTTGACTTTCCTGTAAAAACACTGCTCCAAGTCCTACAACAGGTTCATCTGTTTGTCGGATGAATTCCTTAGAAAATTGTGTGTAACCAATACAGGTTGAATGCATGTGGCTTCCTTGAGATATTGAAATGCTTGCTCAGCTTCTTATGACCATTTCACCATGTCGCAGGCTTTTTTTGAAGGGTGAGTTAAGGGGCCTGCTATAGTAGCAGAAACTTGACCCTCTCCAATGGAATAATGTAGATACTTGGCTTCCTATAGGCCAATGGTACACTTACTAGGGTTTGCTGTCAGGCCAGCATTGCATATGGATTTAATGACCGCTTGCAGTTTTTGTAAGAAAGACTCCCAATCTTCACTGTGTATAACCACATCATCCAAGTAAGCCGTTCATAAGGGGTATGTGGCTTTAGTTTTCGGTCCATCATTCTTTGACATGTTGTTGTATTGGAGTCTGGAGTCTACTGCAGATAGACTTATTCAATGCAAAAGGCAGTTATTTTCTTTGCCTGGGCTGTGAGTGGCACTTGCCAATATCTTGGTTGCATCTAGTGTGGTGAGGTATCGGACTTTCCTAAGTCTTTCCACAGGTTCATCAACTCTTGGCATATGTATAAAACCTTTGGCAGTACTTAGCTTATCTAGGGGCCGTCCGGGGGCCAAGTGGCACGAGCATTCCTCCCTCCACATGAGCCGTGAGTGTCTTGGTCTCTTCTGAGCGGCCAGCATGCACTGACTGCAGTCAATGGTAATGCGGTTTCGCCTCGCACTGGGAGCGCGGCTCGCGTCATGAGCGCACTCTTAAAGAGGTCGTGGGAGCCACAAGTTAGTTCAGGCTCTTATTAAGCATAAAAAAAATTCAATTGTGAAGAAGCCTTGTAAGGTGAAACACGTTGTGGATATTTTATATTGTGTATTTTAATCCATTTTATTTGTTCTAATCCTCTTTTTATACACTTTATACTGTTCTTATTTTTTTACCTGGCATTTTATCATCCTGGACTCCAAGTAATCCTAGGTGGGGGTCATAACACTAACGCTATCATCAAGGAGCAGTTTGTCTGCTCCTCTCTTGTGAGTACCATTTTATATATATATTTTATATACCATTGTTTTATCCAGAGAGCACTATTGGTAGTCTCCTTTTTCCCTTCTTTTTGACGGAGGAAGTCTACCCTATATCCCATAAGCGGGGAAGGACAGTAAGATCATTCCAGTTAAGACTCTTTTATTCTGATTACCCTCATATCTTGATTATTGAATGTTATAAGGTTTTTATGGTCTTTTTTTTATTATTCTTGTTGTACTCTAAGGGTGTCCCTTATATGGTTGCTGCCCCAATTGTTGTTGAGTGCTTACTCTTTTCTCTCGTTTTACTCTTATTGAAACATATAAACATAGAATGTGTCCTCTTGTTGTGGTAGTTTTTCTTCTTTTAAAAATAGTCTCCTCCTCCTTTACTGTGTTGATTCCCTTTATGTATTTAAATGTTTCTATCATATCCACCCAGTCTCGTCTTTCCTCCAAGCTATACATGTTAAGATCCTTTAACCTTTCCTTGTAAGTTTTATCCTTCAATCCATGAACCAGTTTAGTAGCCCTTCTCTGAACTCTCTCTAAAGTATCAATATCCATCTGGAGATGTGATATCCAGTACTGTGTACAATACTCCAAGTGAGGTCTCACCAGTGTTCTGTACAATGGCATAAGCACTTTTCTTTCTACTGCTAATACCTCTTCCTAAACAACCAAGCATTCTGCTAGCATTTCCTGCTGCTCTATTAAAATTGCTGCCTGGCCTGCCTAGGTCATCTGAAATAATTATCCCTAAATCCCTTTCCTCGGATGTTGAGGTTAGGACTATCAAATATTCTATACTCTGCCCTTGGTTTTTTACATCCAAGAAGCATTATCTTGCACTTATCCACATTAAATGTCAGTTGCCTCAACTCTGACCGTTTTTCTAGTTTACCTAAATCATTTGCCATTTGGCATATCCCTCCTAGAACATCAACCCTGTTACATATCTTAATATCATAATATTTATTGAGGCAGTGAGCTAGACCTTTATCCTCTTCTACATACCTTGCTTCTTTTGTTTTTAATCTAACTAATCCTTGTTTTACTTTCCTTTTCTCATATATGTATCTAAAAAATGTTTTGGCCCCTTTTTTAACTAATTGTATTATTTTATTTTCTTCTGTGTGTGATTTGGAAGCTCTTATAACTTGCTTAGCCTCTTTCTGCCTAATCTCATAGATCTGTCTATATTACTCATTCTGGGTTTTTAAAAGTTACTAAATGTAAACTTTTTGCTTTTTACTATTTTGGCCACATCTGCGGAGTACCACAGTGGTTTCTTGAATTCTTTGCTTTTACGGACAAACCTAATGCAATTTTATGTTGCCTTCAGGAGTTCAACTTTTAAATCATCCAATTTCTCTTGGGCTCCTTTTAAACTGTTCAAGTCTGATAATGATTCCTTTACACATATTCTAATTTTAGATAAGTCTGCTTTTTTAAAGTCCAAAACTTTTGTTTTTGTGTGGTGTGACTCAGTCACAGTTCTTATATTAAACCACACTGACTGATGATCACTGTATCCTAAACTTTCACCTACAGTAATATCTGATACCAAATCTCCATTTGTTAACACTAAATCTTGTATGGCCTCTTTACGAGTTGGCTCCTCAACAACTGTCTTAGAGACAATCCCAGTAGGGAGTTTAGAATATGTGTGCTCCTGGCACAAGCAGCTATTTTGGTTTTCCCCATCTTTTGCATTTTAGCTATTTCCTCAACTAGTAGATTATCTAACTCCTCTATTTGTCATGGGGGCCTATAAATCACACCTACACAAGTTACTGTGTGATTACCAAATTCTAACATAACCCAAACAGACTCTGTTCGCCTCACTAACTTTTATTAGGCTAGATTTTATGCTATCCTTCACATACAGGGCCACCCCTCCCCCTTTCTTGCCTTCCCTGCCTTTTCTATATAAAGAGTACCCTGGTATTGCTATGTCCCAGTCATTTTTCTCATTATACCATGTCTCAGTAACAGCGACTTAATCTACTATCAGTTGCCATTATTGCCACAAGTTCATGGCTCTTTTCACTAAACTGCGAGCATTTGTAGATATGACTCTAAGCTTATTATTTTTTAACACACTTGCTACAGGCACTTTCTGTCCTTGTTTTGGGGGCAATTGGATTGATGTTTTATCACCCTTTGCCCCCCACACCCCCCAAACTCCAAGTTTACATACATCCTAGCAAAATCTCTGAACTGCTCACTGAGAACATGTGTTCCCTTTTGAGAAAGATGTAAACCATCTTTTTTTGTACAGTTTATTTCCATTCCAAACAGAGCTACCATGAGAAATGAAGCAAAATCCTTGCACCATTCACCAAGCCACAAGTTAAAGTCCCTAATACGCATCCGCTTGTCATTCTGAGTGTTATGCACAGGCAAAACTTCAGAGAATGACCGTGTTGAAGCAACCTCATTGGCAAAAACCTATCATTGGCAAAAACACAAACTTCCTTTACCTCTGAAACTTAATTGCAAGCCAAGTCATTTGTCCCTAGATGGACAAGTACATCCAATTCCCCTTCCTGCTTTGCTCTCTTAACAATATTAAAAAATGCGTCTCCTGTCTCTGTGAGCAGTAGCTCTGGGAAGAAATCTCACAGGACCACTACTGTCCAGTTCCACACCTCTTATGATAGAAAGCCGTTGTTGTTGGGGGATTCTATCAGGCCTCACCATAGTCTCCAAGCCTGTCTCCACAACACCACTACACTGTGCCTGAGCCTGTCTCCACAGCACCACTACACCCCTCCGGTGTAGTATACCAGCGAAACATGGTCTTAAAACTTTGTTCCTGTAGGGTGAAATAAGTAGAGGAAGAAGCAGCTGCTTCCCAAATATCTTGCTATTCAATGCCTTCCAGTTCCTCCCCTAAATCAGTTTCCCATTGTGTGATATAGGACATTTGCCCCCAATCTGGTGATTCCATGCATAAATATGCATATAAGAGAGTGATAAGCCCCTTTTGAGGCATTTCATTATGACACAGCCTTTTGGAAAAGGTAATTTGTTTGAGGGCTGCTTCCCTGACCTTTTATCTGTTTTGCAAAGTCCCTGACCTATAATTATCGAAAGAAATCAAACGGTGTAAGAGGTGTTCAATTCTTCAGCGCATCAAAGGTTATCACCCACCCTCTTACAAGTGGCACACTCTCAATATTTCTAAAGTCACGGGCTGACATTCCTGGTGGAAAAGCCCCGTTCCTTAATGGAGTGAGAATGAAGAGGACAATCCATATCTGTGAGCCAACCCCAACGGTTTTCTGCATACCGGAGCAGGTTCATGGTCCCTCTGCTTGGATTGGGGGGGACCTGTGGACATAGGGCAATGGCCCCCTTTAAGGCCTGGGCTCTGCGGGGTGTTGAGACGTGGCGCTGTGGACCGGAGTCCAAATGACCACACAGATTTCATTCACGTCTACAGCATGGTGGAGGAGTGAGAGATGGCACAGAGACACCTTACCTGTTATGGCTTATCTGCGGTGTAGGATGACACCTGGAAGCTGACAATTCATGACCCTAATATCAGCCTTTTGGGTACTACAGAGAAATAGTGAAATCTGATTTTATTTTTTATTTATTTATTTTTCAGGTTACAGAAGTGTTTTGTTTATGTCCCAACCAACAACCATGCATTTGGACATCTGATTAAAACAAGGAACTATCAAGAGAAAATGTATCACTACTTCTAACGGTTTGAAGACACTGAGAGAAGATACAACAAGTAATCAAGACAACAGGTCCGAAATAGTTAAATCTACTGTTCCTCAAATAGCAGAGACAAGTGACAAGTCAAAGTTAAAAAGAAAAGCGCACAATGCTACCCATTCTTCTCAAACTAAGAAAAGAAAATATGAACGCTACTTATCATTTGGATTAACAAGTGCCAGAAATTAAAAAATTTCTCAAGCACAATGCTTACTTTGCAAAAAAAAGTTTGTCAAACAGTTAACACCTGCTAAATTACGTCGTCATTTTGAGCAAAACCACTCATAGTACAAATATAAAGACATTGCCTTCTTTAGGAGAAAGCTTTAGGAGCATCATAAGACTAAACCGTTTATGAGCAAAATATTTAAAAAAAAATAAAAAATTTCAGGGGTCTCACAATGTTGGGATACTATGTCAAAGGGTTCCATGGGAAAAATGAATTGGGAGCCCTGGACTATGGCCTTTCTCACACCCCTCCATTAATCCTGACTAATTTGTGAACTACTGGTCTAGATCTAGACCTTGCAAGCTCAGTTTATATATTATTTTTGTATTGAAGCTGTCTGTCTTCACTGCTTATTGCTACCAACCGCTGGACCATTCTGCACCAAAGAAAGCAGAAGCCATAGCTGGTCACTCATGTCTGACCTAACGATCCTGCACAATCATCAAACTAGAGGCCCGCCTCTTGATCATGTGGATTCTGAGAGGGAAGTACCCAGGAAGCAGGTGGGACACATAAGGAGGTGTGTCAATTTTTCTCCTATTTAAACTTGCTCATAACTTATACCTGTGCTCAGTATTCTGTGCTCCCTGATATGCTTCGTCACTGCATTGTACCTGTCCTGATTATCTGGTATCTGTCCTTTGCCTTGTCTTCCATTTATGATCCTGTACTGCCTACCCCGACCCACTGTCTGCCTGACCATACGTCTGCCGTACATTTATCTGTACCTTGCTGTGGACACTCTCAGCCATTTACTGCATTTAGAGCTCTATCTTGAAAACTGTGACACTAACAACCCATGCACGGAGTTTGTATTAGATATATATATATATATATGTGTCTACTATATGCTCTGTGTCCTCACATCAACTTATACATAGAGCATATACGGATGCTGTGTCTTTATAGTAACTGATGCATGGAGCATATAGTGGACACGTAAACTGAGGCTGTGCAGTCACACCGGCTCATACATATAGTGGACACTTATACTGATACTGTGTTTTCACACCAATTCATACAGAGAGGCTATTTTAGTCTTATGCTGATTTTAGATAAGATCCAAACAATATATTGGCTTCCACTCTCTGAAAAAAAAAATGCTTAAGTGCAACAAAGCACAGATTAGAGCAATCATTGCTACATGCCTTGATAGTCACGTCATTAAACCCATGTCATATACAAGTGTGTACTTAAGTCACCCAGGCAGACTGTATACAGCCAGAACATCATTTATAAGCACTCTCTTTTGTAAAATTCATAATTGGACGAATAAACTTACTGAAATGGTCACCACCAACCTGCTAAATGTGATCTATTTGTTAGAAGGAAATCCAAATGTAAAGAACTGAATGAACAGAAACCCAAGTACTTATACTAGTCTTTTAATCTAATATACCAATATACTTACCTGAGGTGGGATAATAAGCTAAACAGCCATAGAGACAGATGGAATTTTCACGCCTGTATTTCAGAGGCAAATGGGGATTTGAACAACTGACCGTCTAAACTGTTTAAACTAGGCTTCAATCTGCACCCCATATGCAATTCATCATCACCAGTGGATGAAGACGTAAAACAGACCCTGGACATGATGGAATATGCAAAACTGGTTTTGGGAGCTACAGTTCCCTTGATGCTCAGGGGAATGTCTAGAGCAGAGGTAGGCAACCTATGGCACATGTGCCATGCATGGCACCTGAGGTGCCTTCGCACGGCACTTAATGCTTTTTTTAGACCTCAGAAATCCCAGTGTGGCTTTAGATATCTGCTAGTACAAAAACGTGGTGAGGGACAATCCTCAATTTATGCATTACAGCACTTAGAGAAAATAATCTCAGAAAACTTAAGAATGGGCAATCCACACTGGAGTAGAGCAGCCCAAAGCAGCTATTGTACCTCCTGCCCTTTCACTGTACCTGGCCTGCACGGTCCCCACTGGACCCCAAGAAAGCCACCCACACTTCTAGACATATGCAGAGCTGAAGAATCCGCCTTTACCTTACACAAAAAAACACAAACAACCTACAAACAAACAGTCCCCACAAACACAACACTACTGACAAACCACATACACAACTCCACAAACAGTCCATCACATGCATACACCAAACACTCTGTGACATATCATCCACACACACACACCCACACAATTCCACAAAAAGTCACCATACACAGCCCACATTCACAGGTACAATATACAATACTACAAACTACTCATGGATATATGCAATATAACAGCCCACATACGTAACATTAGAAAGTAACTACAGCGCTCATAAATAAAACAAGCAGAATATTTCAACATACACACCTCAGTTTAAAAAAAATAAGATATATAGGATCGGCACACAAAGGGACTTCAAGATCTTATTTTGGAACAGTACTACTAAAAGGTTGCCTACCCCTGGTCTAGAGCATCACAAAACTCACTGCCCTTAAGTGATCTCCTTCAATCAACTGTATATACGTTTGTATGTGTATAATTACTCATAGTGGTGTAGAGCGCTTCAGAATTAAAATGTAATTTGATGAGAATGTATCTAATAGAATAAAAATAGTGCCTATTTTCATATCTGTATTGGACACAGGGAAGTAAAGATATATATATATATATAATTTGCCTATAGATTAACCGGGTGCATCATCTTGTTATTTCCACATGTTTCTTTTTATAAAGCTACTGCATGACACTATTTCTAGGCTGTCTTGCTTTTACTCTTTTTTATTTTTTTTTTATTTTAATTTTTTTATTTTTTTTCGGGTTGTACCAAAACATTTCCATCCCCATCCTTTCAAACCTTATACTGTCTTTTTGCACTCCTTCAAATTCTTGATATCTTCCCAATTTCCTTCAGTTTGTTTATTACTGCAAAGCTAGACTAATCTACATGACCTTATCCAATCTGATTTTTATTCCTTTTTTGTAATCATTTACATTCTCCTTAAGTCTTGGGTCACTACTTGGTATGAACTCTTCTTGCCCTTTCTGCTGCAATTGTGAACCACTTGCATCTATGTATTATACTTTTTAAGCTTGCGCTCTGTGCTCTGGTCTTTCCTCTTCTTAGGTCCCTTTCAACATTATCTTTTCTGAAGCCTTGTCGCTACTTCATTCCGTGGGCATATTCCTAGGCTATGTCTCTAGCCCCATTTTAGTTTTTACTTTGCAAAACCTCTCTTGTGATCCAGTAGCTCCTTTGCTTACAGTTTTACCCATATGCGAATATATCACTACTTTATACCTTAATTTATCTCCTTATTTTTTTGGATTGCCAGCCACGTCTTTCTGTCTAACTGGATGTCTCCATGCTTCTTGACACATAATCTCTACAGGATTTGGTTTCTTACCTTTCCTCCATCAGCTGCTGTCCTCTGGCTTTCTACCTTCTGGTCAATAGTTCTACTCCCAGCGCTACGGTCTTGGCATCATTTTTTTTCTGGTGTTTACTTCATCGTTTGCATCCAATCAAACAACAAATCCCAAAATTTCCACTTTAAAAGCATCGCTCTGACTTATTTGTCTGTAACAAGGCTACTAAAACTTTAATTCCACCCATCTATTTCCACCTTGATTACAACAACCTATTTATTATCAAGCTTGCACAAGTGTTGGATAACCTTTTTGCCAACTACTGTGAAAGCTGTTGCCTGGCTTACATTTTTTACATGCCACTGATCTCACTTTTCCCAAACTTGTACCATTTTAAATCACATTAATAAAATAACTCTTCTCGAGAGCGCTCCACAACCGGCACTTTGTTGGTTAATCCTAACTAAACAAGAGAAACTTGATTAATTATTTTGAAATGCACCATCCACACTCCCTTTGACCTCTGCTCTAATTTAAGAATTTTGCCACTTTAGAGAAGCATTTATGCTGGTCATTTTCCTCTTTCAGTCCAAGTTTACCCAAGTCCAAGTTTATTCAACAGTATACAATATTTCTATTTTTATTATAGACGCTCACAAGATGAGACCTATAGCTTTTGCCGTTATGCTCTGCTATAGTTAGACTGTCAGCTCATTTGAACTCATGTTCATCTTTGCTTTAATCAGTCACACTTGCTTTTATGCATTATGTACCTGCAATGATGATTACCTTGGCATTCTATTTGTAAAAATAATTACAATTAAGACTTTGACGCTGCTATTACTTTTGATTTGCTATAATGGCCAACATTCTGTTTAGCTTCAACTGATGGATGAACACCCTAATATTATTCTGCAAAATTTGCTGGCACTATCTAGAATATACGGTTCCCTCTGTGATTGCAAGCTGTCGGCCCTTGCAAATTTATCACATATTAGTTTGTGAGATATTCCATCAAATATGATAACACATGTAATATTTTTGTTTTGTTTTTCAGCTAGAAAAAGAATTAACCCATGAAAATTTTTTGCAATGGACAAATCCTGAAATGATGGACTTAACAGAAATGGAGTTGTATTTACCCAAATTTAAACTTGAAGACAACTATGACCTTAAATCTGCTCTTATAAGCATGGGTATATGCGATGCTTTTGATCATGGAAAAGCAGACTTTTCTGCCATGTCTGCAAATAATGAACTGTTACTGTCTAAGGTGATCCACAAGTCTTTTGTGGAAGTGAACGAAGAGGGTACAGAGGCTGCCGCTGCCACAGCTGGGATCATGATGATGCGTTGTATGCTTAGAGTGCCCACAATTATTTGTGACCATCCTTTCCTTTTCTTCATTATGCACAAGCAAAGCCGCCACATTTTATTTTGTGGTAGATTTGCTTCCCCCTGAAACCACTGATACAGGGGAGTTTGTTTATGATTCATGGAATCAGCTGACAAAAATCTATACAATGCTCAAAAGTTAAAAACCAAAATGCATGCCTTAATTAAAAAAAAAAAATCAATAAAGCTTTGCATTAATGTTGAACAATACTTTAGTATAAATATTATTTTCTTATTCTATTTTTTACTTGGGTCTCTCATCTAGTTTCTGAAATTCCCAATTACCTGCCATGTTTTTGAATCGAGGCAAAACCATTATGGTAGGAAAGTAAAAGAACAAGGTTCCACCAAGTACTTCCTAGGTCATATGGGCACCTGAAAGTTTTCCTGACTGTCAACCATCTATTCACTGGGCAAACTTACTGTATTAGATAAGCACAGTGGCGAAGATTTGGAATTCGGGCTGGAATGTGGTCTTGCATAGCTGTAATGTAACGTGCTTCAAGTCTGCACAATTCATGGATTGCTTTTACCAACATCCCGGTCGGTACATTGTGAAGAAATCTAATGAGCATATTTCTTCCTGTGATATTTTTTGATATGCTTCATTAGCACACACCACACACTAATTAAATTGTAATTGCTTTTCACAGTGTTTTGTGGGAATTCTTAAAAAAAAATAAAGGTTTTTGTTAGTAATTGTAAATGTTAATTTAAGAAAATATAATTGTTCGTATTCAATAAAATGAAAATCTCTATTGGCAATCATTGTGTTTTATATATTTTAAACTGGATATGCAAAAGACTAATACTTGTCTTGAACGAAATACTATTATTCCCCAGCAGGAAAAATGGACAGCCAGGTCTGAATAGCTTGCCGTTGAATATAATAAATGTATATGCCCTAAACAGACTTCCTTCGGATGCAATACTTCAGCAGATCAATAACACTCTGATGTGTTCTTTAGAATCTCTCCAAAAAGCTATATTCTGAGGCACACCAAAATTGTGAACCGCAAATGGCAATATAGTGGAAACCATTCTTAGCTGGTAAAAACATTCATAACTGAGAGGTGCTTAGATGAAATACTCTCAGCTCTCATGTGTCTTGCTTTTATGCTCACTGAATTTTATACAACTTCTTTTAAAAGTTTAAGTGGTATTTCAACTTTGCCAGGTGGCAAAATGTTTAAATAGATATTTCACGGAACAATGTAGCGTATTCCCAACTAATGGTGTTTGGTGCATAAATCACATGGTTTCTATGACACCATCTTATTGAAATAACAGTGTTGACTGACAGCCACTACAGGCATTTAATCCCCATGATGTAAAAATTGTCATTCCTACAGAACAACAATGTTTTACATTGCAGGAACTTGACACCCAGACCACTTAATTGAATTGAAGTGATCTGGGTGCCTCTAGTGCCCGTTTAACCCTTCAGCAGATGCTTTCAAAATACTTGCCAACTCAACTATGTTAAACAATGGAAAAGGGATCTGAGAGATGAGCCAGGGGGTGGAGGATTGGAGGACATATAGAAGGCTGCTAATAGGGTGTCAATCTGCGTTCACCTCCAAGAGCAAATGTTTACAATTATGATACGGTGGTATACAACACCAGTAAAATTGTATAGAATGAGAAAAATACCAACAGATAACTATTGTGGGTTACATGAGACATACTTGCATATATGGTAAAATGAAGAGGTATTGGGAAGAGTCCAATTGTTAGTTGCCCTAGTATTTTTATGACTGTTTGACCTTGACCCCTGGTCATACATTTTGCCTAGGCCTATTGAGAGGCTTCCTCCATTCACAAAAACTGTTAGATATGATCATGTTGGCAACAAGCGTTCTAGCAGTGGGATGGCTGAAAGGCAGACTGCCGGCTATACAGGAGAGACAAGCTAAAATAGAGGACAACTGACTGATAGATAAGCTCACAGTGATAGTTCATAACTTAATGAACAAGTATCAAAGGAATGTCAAGCTTGAACTAGAAAAAAAGGGAAGGATGGGGAACCCACCCACACAGGTTGATCACACAGTTGCCCAAAAGCTGACTTTATATAAACTCAAATGTACCAATTGACATGTTCCACAAAGTATTTGTTTATTTTTGGCCATGTTGATTGTTTCTTATGCTCTTCTTTGTAAAATTGGATAATGTAAAAACATAATTTCCTATGTAATTGTCAGGACTACAATGTCTCATTGTCTAAATTATGAATTTAAAAAATAAACATTCTTGCCAAATAACTGTTATATGTGGTGCAAAAAGAATGTGCTAAATGACAAGATCAGCAAAGAATAAGTGTCAAATGTTATCTAATCCAGTGCCCTCCATGAATGTATAAATGGATACAGTAAATCTCATAACAAGAGTAAAAACTACTATTCAATTATGCAGTAAAATATTGATGACCATATGTAAGTATTGTGCAGATATGCACTTTAATATTGTGCTAAGAATAGTTTTGCTGTTTTTTTGTACATTTGTTCTGAGCATTTCATTACCATAGTAGTTTTAACAGGATTTTCTAAAATGTTGGGATTATTGTAACTGTAATTTTTAAGATCTTGAAATAACTCAAGTCTTATCATTCTTCTTAAATATATATATTTTTTTGTACCAATCTCTCATACTAGCCATGTTGATGCAACTGTGGATCTATCATGCTAATAGCTCACCCATAGGGATTTAATAAGCTTTACTTCTGTATTTGAAGACTTAACAAATACATAGTTAGTTATGCATAGTTACATAGGCTGAAAAGAGTCATGCTTCCAAGTTCAGCCTTCTTCACAATTATTTTTCGCTGTCGATTCAAGAGAAAGCAAGAAGCCGAGTTTAAAGCACTTCCAATTTTGCAACAAACTAGGGGGAAAAAGTAACGAGATTCATAGCTGCCAAACTTCTCTTGAAGAGATTAAGAATTTGGGAATAATTGTACATTTCTTAATTCTACATCTTCCTGTAATCAGAAAGGAAGTCTTTTCTAGATTGCCCACATGCAAGTTCTAACAATATAATGTGATGGTTAGGTCTAATTGAACTCCTAATTAAACAATGCTGATTTAAGATGTCCCTTTTTACACTTTTAGCTTCTTGTAATTAAAATAATTTGTACTGTTTTGCACAATATGCCCCATATTGCTCTTTATAAAACTCTGTGTTCTTTACAGAAAGGTGTTTTTTTGTTTTTTTTTTATCAGTGTGACTACTGCTATACATATTAACTTTTAGTATAGATAATTATGAATGCAATTATGTCATTCACAGATTTCAAAGAAAACCAGGTGCATCCAACATTTTTCTGTTAAGCTTTAACTTTGTATGAATCTAGTTTATTTGTGCTTGTGCAATTAGGCTGATCCCATTGGCTTAATATGAATATCAGTATATCAGCGGAGATAAGAAACTAGTGGGAATGAAACATCTGATTTGTGTGATTTATGCATACTCATTGTCAATAGTTACATATTATGTTGAAACAATGTTAGTTCTGTTTTTTTGCAGGAAATTACTTTGATTGGTTATAAAAGACTTAGCACTTTAGTTTTTTTTCATTTTGGTTATTAGTGTGTTATTGTAGGGAAGTTTTAAAACTGGTTGTAGGGTAAAGCCTGATAGTATTGCTGAGGTACAAGCTGTTGGCATGCCTTAACTGTAGAATATATGGATAATTTCATAACAAGGAGGCATGTTTTCTGTATCAAAAATATTATAAGGTAACATTTGGAAATGTTTCAGAACTATAATACAGATCAAGGAAAAGCACACACTTTTAAAAAAAAATATATATATTTTTTTATATTTTATAAGGTTACTTAAAACCACAATGGCAAACAAATATGGGGTTTCAGTTCCATCATATGGCCATATTGTGTTAAGCCCACCACTACTTCACTATTCCCGAATACCGGTGGGTCCTATACTAATTGAAACCTGGGAGACAAATTAAATAGTGCTAGTGTTAAATAAGCTAAAGTATATTTAAATAATCTAAAGTGTACAATATGTCCATATGGTGGAACTGAATACCCATATTTGTTGGCTAAGATAAGTGATTTTAAGTAGCCTTATTAAATGTAAAATTATTTTTGTGTGTGCTGTTATTTAATCTTTATAATGTTAAAATTTTGGTCACTACAGCAGCACCATTAATACAGAATGCATGTTCCGGGTGTGCCCCCAATTCCCTTTTGCTTTTACTATGTTTCAGACATGTGGTATATTTGTAGAGAGAATAATTCTTTTACTACAAAACATGGGTATCTAAGAGGTCTCTTATATACAATTTAAATAGAATTTACGTAGAATATGGAATACTCCAGAGGATTCATCACAATGTTCCTTTTTTTTAGCTGGCCCAGAAAATGGGAGTTATAGTAATTGGTTTTGTCTCTTTTTTTTTGACAATTTACAACTTGAGGCTAATAATTCTCTCCCATTCTCAATTTTTTTTTCGCTATTGGATAGATTTGCTTCTATTAGTTAGTACTATCCCTTGTTGTTGAATTAAAGGAACACTCCAAGCTCTGTAACTACTATAGCACACTGGAGTGTTTATGGTGTCAGTAGTGTGGTGGTGTCCATCAATAAAAATGGTCAAATTGCTTGTAAACAATTTGGCAACTTACCTGGTTTACATCGAACGTGATCACATCCTCTATTGAAAACTGGAAGCCTGTGCTAGGATCTTCAGTTAGCTCTCCTGAGCTAAAGCCCTTCCGTGCAGGGTCAGTTCATTGGCGGAGAATATCAGCTGTTCACTTTCAGCCAATGAGAGAGCTTATAGTAGCTCTGTCACAGTCTGTGGTCTTTGCACAATTTGAGAAGACCCCCAACTGTGACTTTACCGCTGTCAAAGCAGTGACCAAGGGCTGCAGGGGAAGGGGAGTTTTACTTACCTGAACATATCCCTTGTGGCCACCACCATGATCTTCCTGCCAGTCCTCTTTACCTTCTGGAGCTTCAGTGTTGTACTCTAGACTTTAGATCCTCCATCTCTAAACTCTATGGAGGATCCTGCAAGACTGCAGCATCCTCCATAGATAACCTTTTCCCCCTAGTCACTACTTTGACTTATTATATATTTAGACTGGATAGGAATGTCAGTGAAATTCCAACACAATTAATGTGAGTATTAAATAAAGATGTTAGCATTATGAAACCCTAATTCTGGAGGGGTGACAGTGCCACTTTAAAGGACAACTGCCCCCTTAAAACTATTAATTTTATATAATACTTTCATCATGTTTGAAAGGAAATAGATTTTTTTAAAACTGCAGTGTGTTAAAAAAGTAAAAAAGAAAATACAAAAAACTTACCCCTTTAAAATATGACTAGATCATTCAGCCATATACATACACCTTGTCAGACAGTTTTTGAAAACAGTCTTTATATTCATCCCGCCTAATGCGTAGAGAGTAAAGTGAACTTTTAGCTTTTAAGCACTAGCCAACATAAGATGCATGTAAATGGCTGAAAGATCCTGTCATAAACTAAAGATAAGGATTAGTTTTTCTAACTTATTTTTTCATATACTTCATTTAAAATAAAATCTATTTCCATTCTAAACATGCAGTGCGCTGTGGTTATGGTGCTTTAAGTGTTCATTTAAGTATTGAACGCTCTATGGACGAGCAGCCCAATATAACTACACTTTTCTGAAAATTGAAAATCCATGTACTGTGAACTCAATATAATTTGTGTTGAAAATCTTTGGAAAATATTATTAGCACAGAATTATTCTGCTTTAAAGCTTACGCCATTTACCTATGGCTTTTTTTGTCTTAATATGCATCATGTTTTGATTGAGGTGTCCTGTCAAGTGTGATTGGTATGTCTGGTGTTTTCTCACAGTTCAAATAATTTGTTATACATTCGGCAATATTGTGATTTTACAATGAGATTATTATATGGGTTTCCTCTTCTTTCTCTACATGAATTATAACTTAGTTTTGTATTTTGAATTGGACTGATTAGATCTGAGCAGACTAATGTGCAATATGAAATGTGTTTAACTCGTGATTTTATATGTGTAACTGACGCAATCTAATTTTACACTTAACACGGTCTTGCTCAGAAAGCTAGAATGAAATAATGAAGTACCTGTTTTACTTTCAGCTTGAAAAGGAATTAACCTTGACGAAGTTCATGGAATGGACCAACCCCAATATGATGGACCGAACAGAGGTCGAGCTGTATTTACCCAAATTTAAACTGGAAGACCATTATGACTTGGAGTCTGTTCTTAGTAGTATGGGGATGTCTGATGCCTTTGATGTTGAAAAATCAGACTTCTCCGGCATGTCTGGCAGCCGCGACCTTGTACTGTCTAAAGTGGTGCACAAATCTTTTGTGGAAGTGAATGAGGAAGGAACAGAGGCGGCTGCGGCCACTGGTGCAATCATGATGCTTCGCTGTGCCAGGATTATGCCAAGATTCAAATGTGACCATCCTTTTCTTTTCTCTATCATACACAAACAATCTCGAAGTGTTCTGTTTTTTGGTAGATTCTGTTCTCCCTGAAATTAATAAGCGGAAAATATTGTATTCTGCATTATTCTCTTTCCGCCATTATTTATTCTTTGTTTCTCTTCTCTTCAAGAGCTCTGTCACAATGCTGTGTCTTTGTCTTTGAAAACTTAGTGTAGCTTTGGTCTGTTGAATGACAGCCAAAAAGTGATTCACAAATATAATATTTGATGTTTTTGAAAGAAACAAAAATCCATTGTGGATTTACATGGACATTCTTATAGCAATGAGAGTATTTGTTTACTTTGAAATTCTTATAAGAATGAGAGTTTGTTACCCCACAGTATATAGTATATTGTTCTATCCTCTAACATTTGAATATTGTGAACAATATCGTTTTTCTCCAAGATATAATTAACTCCAATACAGAAAATGGAGCATATTGAAATAACAAAAATAGGCAATTACATGTTTAAAAAACAAAACCTGTAAAACTATAAATGACACACATATTTGGTATTAACCAAGTAACCACCAAGCTGCAGGACATTATCCACATGGTTAAGACATGTTTCCACATGAGGGACATATAATGTTACATAAAAATCATATAAAGTGTATGCAGCAAGAGTTTCTAACTTATTATATAAGCTTCTGAATCATTTTGGAATTCTAGTAAAATGAGACATTATTTTGATCAGTAGAGTAGTGTTGGTGCTTCCTAATATATTCTTACATTTTTGTTTGTATTCTAACATTATTATTCCAATTTAGTACATTGTATGCTATTTTGCTATATAGGTCATATGTACTGAAACTAAAAAGAGCTCTAATATTTTTAAAAATGTAACTATATTAAAATACTTTGGCTTTCAATTTCATTTTTTTTTTCTTTATAGCTTTTCAAAATAAGCAACAAACAGTGTTAGTTATAAGCCACAGAGGCTTATTTGTAAAAAAGGGAGACTAGTTTATTATATAATATTACATATAATATATATTATTATATACGCATTTGTATTTAAGACTGTGGGTTTATTGACCTCTATTAGTGCGAAGTTTTTAGAAAACGTGTTTCTTTGCAAGTCACTTGCATTTAGGAAGTCTGAGCGATCTGACAAAATGTGTTGGAATGGCTTGGTGGTTCATCTGAGATTCCTTGGTGGATGTGGTCTGTACCTGGAAGTATTCTACATCCAGAGATACAATGTTTATGCAAGTTTGGTGTGAGCCTTAAACAAGTGATTGTGGGAGTGCAGGGCTGGCCTGCCCAAAGACCACGGTGGGGCCATGGCTCCAGGCTGCATACTGAATGCCGCCCCTGTCATCATCTAAAACATGCGTTCCCAACCCATGGCAGCGGTGCACTTGCACCACATGGGTTGGGAACCTGTTTGAAGGTATATCGGGTGGCCCATGTCCTTAGGGCCACCCAATGGACATGTTCAATTAGGGGCCCGTTGTGCGCCACAGTCAGCAGAAGGTAAGAAAATGTTGGGTGGCTTAATTGTTTAGTGTGTAGTGTGTGTCTATCTGCATGTGTGTAGTATGTGCATCTATGTGTAGATCGTAGTGTGTGTATCTGTATGTCTGTATCAGTTGTGGATCCAGGGGGGTGAGGGGGGGTCAACGGGGCAGCCCTGCAATGTGCCTGTGGATGGGGGAGGGAGATCAATGATCTACCTCCCCGGTCGCAGGCACTGTGCTGGCAGCCGGCAGGGGAGGGAGGGAGGACCCGGGAGCTCTTACCAGCAGCTCCTCCGGGTCCTCCTCTCGCGAGCATGGAGCGTTGCCGCGGTTACCACAGCAATGCTCCACATCTTGCGAGAGTGAACTCTAGCCCTGGTGCGTGGGCTAGAGTTCACCTCACCACCACTGGGACCACCAGGGATTCCCACTGGACCACCAAGGATGGAGAAATGTCCCCCCTCCTCCCAGTAAAGGTAAGAAGGGAGGGGGGACAAAATCTATATTAATTTTATTAAATTAAAAAATTAAATATTAAGCCTCCTCCCCCCCCATACACACACTGCCCCACAAACTCACACTGCCCCCATACACGCCCCATACACACACTACACACATTGCCCCCCATACACACTACACACATTGCCCCATACACACACTGCACACCCATACACACTGCAACCCTGACATACACTGTCGCCCTCACACACTCGCACACACACTGCACCTTTCTCACACACTTTACCCCTAATATATACCACTGCTCCTATGCCCTATATCCCAGCAGACCTCAGGTAAGTTGTCAAACTGTTCTTAAACGGTTTGACTACTTACTCTGGGATGGGATCCTGGCACTACTGGTGCCATAACTACTACACTGCAGTGTGTAAGTTTGTATGTCTATATGTCTGTGTATATGCAGGCATATCAGTGTGTCTGTACATCTGTACGTGTGTCATTGTGCATCTGTATCTGCATGTGTGGCAGTGTTTGATACACATAATGACACACATGAAGGTGCACAGATACACATACAGTTTCACTGATACACATGCAGATATACAGACACTGTGTATAGATAAGTGTATTGGCTGCAGTGCACACACAGACACACGCTACATCCCCAGCACCCACCAACATACAGTACATCCCTAGTACACATCAACACACATACTACATCCCCAGCAGACAAACACTACATCCACAGCACACACTACACCCCAGCACAAACACAGAGACACTTCATCCCCAACACACACAGACACACATTTCATCCCCAGCACACAAACAGACACACTTCATCCCCAGCACACGCACATAGACACTAGCATTGCATTAGGATGTATGTTTTAATTATTTGGGGGGAGGATGAGGGGGAAGCAGCATTTCATCCTTGTACCCAGGCTGGACAATGTCTTTGGCCAGCTTTGTGTGAGTGCTTTGAATAATTTTGAGCTGGAGAAAGAGGAAATGGCAAACCTCAACAGAAGCAGTTGACTTAAATATAGTCTGAAATATGATTAAGGCTTTTGCCTGTAGTTGTGGGAGGGGCATGATTTCCCTACTTAAACAGACTCCTTACCTTGCTCCTCACCATTCTTGTTCTAGCGATTTGCATGTGACTACTTCCGGGTCACATGCAGGTCGCCATCTTGCAACTTACCTGTTTCTCCAAGTGGTTCAACTGTACCTGCTGTTTTCTCCCGGACCAAGGGTCTCTGCTTCCACTCTTCAGCCCTCCTGGGCAGCTCCAGGGGAAATTAACCAGAACCACGCCAAACCGTAAGACACTGACCTGTCGCGCCATAGTCACGGTTCCACGGCTTCATCACGGTTTAGGTCTATTTCAAGTGATTACAGTTTTGCATACTTCTTAATGTATTGCATTTTGTGTTACCATCAGTTCGGTTAAACTCCCAAACGATGTTTACATTTTATTTTGCAATGTTTTATCACTGTATGTGCCTGTCGGTTCGGTTCAAATGACTAACAATTTCGGTTTTCTAATCTGTTAGTAAACTTTGCTATTCAGTGTAGTTACAGCCATTCTTACGAATGACTGTTCGCATGTGTTCTCTAATTGTATAGATCAGGCAAACTTTTATTTAAATTAATACGAATGTTCCCCCCTTTCGTATAGCACGAATAACCCTACGGCCGGATAAAGCTTTTCGTGAAAAAATTTGTATACTTATACTTAAACTGCACAGGTATTTAAATTTATCTGAAATTCGTCTAAATACAAAAATTAGTCTATACAACTAAATACTGACCTCTAGCAGTTATTAAAATTTTAGGTTAAATTAAATAAAAATTCTACATGTTACAGTTTTAATAAATAGCTGTTTATCTTAATAACACTTGGGTAGTTTAAGTTAATATTGTAATTTTGCATTAAGTTTAATTAACTATGCCTCTCACTTTGGTGTAGGCCTATCCTATAAATATCTGTTTCAGAAATCACTTACACTCTCAATTCTATAATACCTCACCCCAGGTTTATGCTGGAAGGTCATGCAACATTGTTCTCTTATATCAGGCTTCCCCAGACTCCGGCCCTCCAGATGTTGCTGAACTACAACTCCCATGATTCTATGAATGAAATAGGCTTGTAGTTCAGCAACATCTGGAGGGCCGGGGTTTGGGCGAGCCTGTCTTATATGATGTACAATACATATTAAATCCCCACGCTAGGAATTATCCTTCCCGTAGTGGTTCCCATCATTCGTTTAGGGTCGCGATTTCACTATCCATTACATGACTCGTCATTTTTATTATATGGTCACTTAAAAGAAAAAAAAAACACATGATATCTACATAAAGATTTCACTAGTTACGTCTCTAATGCTCACCTGGGGTATTCCTACACTCAATACTTCTAAGTCTCAGTTCTTTAACCTAAATCAGCTGCAGGCTCAATTCCCTTACTGCTTCACTGGTGTCAAACCGTATGTTCTTTGCACCTATGTTACTAATATTCAATTTCTAATAGGAATACTGTTGCTTGCATATGTTTCTATATTTAGGGTAGTCCGGATCTTGGACACTTAACTAGTGATGAGACGCTATCACTAGTTCAGTATAGTACATTACCTAAATTCTCATTCATTACTAAGGTTAGGCTCCTTATCCTTAATCACCTGTTGGTAGCTTACCAAACTTTTTTTCTCAGAATACTCTTGCGACCTGTTTTTTGCTCTAGCTTACCAAACTGCTTACTTCAATGCTACTCAAGTGTATAGTATATTTTCTTGCCTTTTATTACCACGTGTCTTTATGGTCCTTAACAGGACTACTGTTTTATCTTGAATCTGTTTCTACCCTCAAGGAGGTCCCAGGTCATTGGCCACATAGGGGCTCAGATGGCATTAATAATGTGTATAATATGTTACAGGTGCCGCGTACATATTTCTCGTATGTTTCATCATCCCATTAGATTAATCATTTTGGGCTTCTGATTTCACTTGTATCAGTTTTCTTTCATAATGAGTCGTAGGTTATAGGATAATTGTATCAAGGGCATTACTCATACTATGTTTTTTACAGGTTACAGGGTGCTCCGGTTTTAGGGCATACCTACACTAGTTAGGTAGGTCTGTCATAAATTAATTCAGTTGGGTCCACAAACTGGCCTTCCAATTCACATATGTGCTTTAGTTCCATCAAGGTATCTACTATTTACAGCAACCTCCTACGTATGGTTGAAACTAATTGCACTACTTATCCTGTAGGTATACCAGGATATATATAATTTTATGTCACATACCACATCTCCTACAACTATCTCTCATTGACCGCTATAGGTCTGCCAATCCACTTCTTATGTTCAACCGCATTACTGTTTTACTTTTCTCAGGTACGTCAAACTACACATACTTATACGCTACCATACCCTTCTCCCCTTAGTTAGCTTTGTTACTGGCTGACAGGGCACCAGGAGTCCATTAGGTAATAATTTCAAAGGCCTCTATGCCTTAGGTTAGAGGTCCTGCAAGGCCAACACCCATCTTCATAGTCAGAGGTTCTACGCCCATCGGCCCAACTCATAGCTAGTCGCTTTGCATGGTGGCATATAGAGGGCCTCACCTGTCACTCCCATTCTATCTTATGCTTTAAAAGGATAGCACGAGAGGCCGACACCTCACCACAACATTCAGTGGCCACAAAAATCCCCTAGAAAAGAACATTCCTGCTAGGTCCGATACACCTTCACGCAAAGGTGACATAGCTAGTCCTACTTCTATTAGATCCTGGACTATCCTTTGCATCACAGCAAAATAGTTATTTAGCACATACAGTACCAACAGCTAGATAACCAAATTACTCAATCACAATATATACATATATATATATATACATATGTACCACTAAACAGGCTTATAGAAGGGAAGCATCTGCTTAGAATTAGTATTGTCTAGAATTGGAAACCTGTCTTATTATTGGTTACTTATACAATACAAGTTTAAAGAGCTTGCACATTTAATCTGTGAGGCCTGCACAATTATACGTATTAAGCAGTATTGTGGCAGGTACTATAAGGTAAAGGTAAGTTCCTTCTGTTACTATAATAGGTATAAAACATCATGTAGTGTTAAACACATACTAGGTACGTTCAGTTGCATTGATTTACCAGTCAACCATGTTTATGTAAATTATTACAATACCATTTATATAGAAGCCATTACCAAAAAAAAAGTATTCAACATTACGTTTCATTCATGTTTTCATACTCAAGGCCTCATTCTGGTTCTCCTTTACGTCCTTATGCATTTGAGTATAAGTTACTTAAGTCAATATTAAGTACATGTTACGGTATGTTAAAGAAATCCAACGGGATATCTGCTTTCTGACGTGCTATCTGTCCTTTTTTCATAATTTTTATATCTATATGGGAATCAGCATACAGACAAGTTGCGATACCACGCTTATCTGTTTCATGGTGATAAATGGTTATACTAACGTCATCATCAAGTTAAGCCACTCCTCCTCATCCTCATGGAAGTCTATGGATGGCCAACCGCGGCTTATTTAACTCTTTCTACAAACTACCACGAAATTCAATTTGGCTCCCTGCATAGCAGGTGTCGCAACTGACTATATTATTTTAGGTCATGCTCTTTCTTAGGTCGATACATAGGATCAAGAAATACAATATTCATGCGTAGCCTCATGGTGCTCATCTGCCAAAGCAGGTTACTTTGGTTTAGTTATTCTAATTAGGGGTTGTTGGCTTCCAATTCACTTGTTAGCTTAATAACAACTCTACTGAATTTATCGGTCCATTGTTATAGTCTATGTCAATACTAATTATCATATATTCTTGTTGATACTGATCCTATTTACTTACAGTTTTCTGGTTATGCAATATTGCTACTATTACGTTTTCTCCACCTATTCTGCTCGCAGTTAGTTTTTCCATATATATGTTGGTTTTTATCAACCTTGCCATTGCTATGTTTATCACTTATTTTATCACGTTTAGGGTGTTTATTTATGGGGAATAGAACCCAGATTTAAGTAATGTTTGGATAGGGATTTGGTCTCCTACTTACCGTATTTTTCGCTCCATAAGACGCACTTTTTTTCCCCTCAAAAGTGAGGGGAAATGTCTGTGCGTCTTATGGAGCGAATGTGAAGATTTACTTACCTGTCTTGGAGCGTGGGCCGGCTTCACAGCGCGCTCCGCGGTCCAGGAACTTCTATTTCAGGTTCCGGTTTCCGGCGGGACTGAAAGGAAGTGTGCACACCGAGTGTGCACTTCCTTTCAGTCCCGCCGGAAACCGGAACCTGAAATAGACCTTCCTGACCGCTTGAAAGCCGGCCCACAGCTCCAAGACATATGGGACAAGGGGAGGGGAGGGGAGGGGGGGGGAGACACTATGGGACAAGGGGAGGGACACTATGGGAGAAGGGAGGGAGGAGACACTATGGGACAAGGGGAGGGGGACACTATGGGACAAGGGAGGGGAGACACTATGGGACAAGGGGAGGGGGACACTATGGGAGAAAGGGAGGAGGAGACACTATGGGACAAGGGGAGGGGGGACACTATGGGACAAGGGGAGGGAGGGAGACACTATGGGACAAGGGGAGGGGGGGAGACACTATGGGACAAGGGGAGGGGAGGACACTATGGGAGAAAGGGAGGGGAGGGGACACTATGGGACAAGGGGAGGAGGACACTATGGGACAAGGGGAGGGAGGGACACTATGGGACAGGGGAGGGACACTATGGGAGAAAGGGAGGGAGACACTATGGGACAAGGGGAGGGGACACTATGGGACAAGGGCACTATGGGACAAGGGGAGGGGGGGACACTATGGGAGGGAAAGTGCACTATGGGACAATGGGAGGGGGGACACTATGGGATCAGAACACTAATGGACAAGGGGAGGAGGGGTTAAAGAACACTATGGGACAGGGTAGGAGGGGTTAACAATCACTATGGGACAGGGTAGGAGGGGTTAACAATCACTATGGGACAGAGGAAAGGGGGGTTAAAGATCATTATGGGACAGGGGAGAAAAAAAAATATTCTGAACAAACTGTCCCATGGTAAGAAACACTATGGAACAGTTTGTTCAGAATATTTTTTTTTCTGGGTTTCCTCCTCTAAAAACTAGGTGCGTCTTATGGTGAGGTGCGTCTTATGGAGCGAAAAATACGGTATTCAGTATCCATTTGCCTTCCTATACATAGGACTAGCAACTGATAACTTTTAGCACTTATGGGCATTAGTATAGTGTGATCTATCACTTGTCATTAGCTGTTCATCATTCAATGCTAGGTGATTTGCTATGTCTGAGTCAGTGGGACTAGAGTGTTCAGATGTATGTCTGTTGAATGCATATTTAAATTACCAGCTGTAGTTCTTTACGGCTTCATATTGGAGGCATTTGGAGATCGAACCAGTCTCCAATATAGTCTCTATAGCTTTTTACATACAATATGGGGTGGAGTATCTTCTTGTTTAAAGCAAATATTGATATTGCCTAGAAATAAAACAAATAAAGACACATAATAGTGCAATATTGTCTAAATCTCAAATTGAATGAAAAGGAAGTGTGTGAAAATGCACTCACAAAACAAGAGCCCATAAAATAAGGTTCAATCTTCCAGCGTTATGGGATTAAGGATCCCACTACCTTCTTTATACTGCCAGGAGGTGGTGAATAATCCAATGTCCTCTCACAGGTGAGTATAAGTAATTATTAATAAAGTGCACAAATAAAGTAAAAAAAACAAGACCTTACAGTTGAAGGTGACCTAGTCTCTGGTTGCAAAACGTGTTTCGCCTCATGTAGAGGCTTCCTCAGTTGCTCTGATTGTTGGTTGTCAATGTTCTGTATTTATAAGTTGTATTTCGCTCCCTTTTTCCTTAATCGCGGCACTTCCGCTTCCGCGTTCCATCGGTGGAACGCATTGATTCGCTCACTTCCGGTTTCGGCATTTGTGTTCCATCGGTGGAACAAATGCGTCCTTGTTCCGGTTCTCGTGCATTGGGACGCATCTATGCGTTCTATTTTACTTAGTTGATTCGGAATAGTCCATTGATACATGAAATCATTGACATTTTAAAAAAAATAACTCACAAAGAGAATAAAAATGAGAAGCAAGATTAATATAAAAACATAAATAAAGTGTACAGATAGCTCTACTTTGTAAAGGAGACTTCTTACATAAACAATGATGTTACTATAAGAAAAGATATCATAATTATTGTTATATATAAGTCCTATAGAACAAGGAAAAAGTGAATGAATATAAATATAAAATGATGATTTATAAGACATAAAATGCAGAATAGCAAGATGACCCGAGATGATAAAATATATTGTATTATAAAAATCTAGATGCATAAAAAGTGACAAACCTCAAAAAAAAAAATGTATAGCTTTTTATATTCAGTCTATGGGTGACATATATGCTATATATGAGCATTTAACTCACAGTATTTCCACTTTATTTGACCTCCCCTCCCAAGCTTACTGAGCTTCATTGTTTCCTCTTTATGTATTTATCTTTGGGATAGTGGTTTTCATTATTTATTTTTTGGTTTGTCTCTGTTTTATGATGACTAATAAAATTATGTTTTTTATCAGTAATATAAAACTCTGAAATATCCTATCCGTGTATCCAGGACTTTCTTTGCCCTAGGATCACTTTCTTTTGCAAGTCAATATTTAGGGTTATCCCCTATCTGGATATTTTCAGGACACACTTCATAGTCCCTGCCTTAGGGAGGGATCATTTTCTGTTTCTTTTTTTATGTTTATCTCTTATCTACGTTTCACCACTAATCTGTCTCTGGGCTATCCATTAATTTTTCAGGCAACATCGGCTCATGTATCCATCAATTAAGTGACAGGTTCACAAGTCGCATACTTTCAAGAGGTTCATCATTATTAGAATTTTTATCTATGTCTCAATACTAATAGGTGAAGTTCACGTTATTTGCTGTTAATCACATTTATGCCATCTCCTTAGTGGTCTCCTAGTGATTGCTGTCACCTAAGTCTCTCAGCTCATTACTAATTTCAGTTTACAGTTAAGTGGTCCTCCATTGCCTCTATGTTTATCACGACAGGTTAGTTCAGCTTACCAGGTATCACCCGGCCTTATCACTCCTATCAGGACATGCACCTTAACCAACATGTTTTCCTCACTTATGAAACAATATGCATGGGCCAACAAGAAGCTTGACTATTTATGTTCAACCCATGCATGGTCCAGCCTACGTATCCTTTCAACCATTTTCCTTCATTTACAATTCATGCTCATTTACTCCTTTCTGGTTATGTATTCTCTGACCAAGTATTAGTACAGTATATTAACAACATATTTGCCATGTTTTCTTTACTACGGTCTGCTTTTTGCCACCTTAAAATTAATTCTCACACAGCCATCAAATATATCTCATTCATGAGTTATGTCAGAATACTAATCAAGAAAACCAAGCCTTAACCATTCTTGAGGATTTTGCCTTTAGTTGTGGCAGGAACATGATTTCCTTACTTAAAGGGACTCCTTACCTTGCTCCACACCGTTTTTGTTCTAGCGATTGGCATGTCCCTCCCACAACTCCCACTACTCAATCATAACCTCTTTATCTTCTCTTCTTAACCTTGGGTGGGCCCTCTTTGTTTTACAGGTCTACCAGCATCGTCTGTTCCGGCACACCTCAACCGACTTTTTCCATTCTGTATTACGCTATTCCTATACTGCTCCCTATCACTCTATATGGCTTTTTTGCCCCTAACACACACACATATATATATATATATATATATATATATATATATATATATATATATATATAGTATACCAAGACTCCAGTTGCCATTTAGGAGTCTTTATAATGTGAGTTTATTGTGCATATACTAGACTGTTTTGTGTATAGATTGCTACAGACAATATAGCCCTATTCATATTCTATTTTTTAAGGAAAGAGTTTGTGAAAAATAAAATACTTCATGTGTAAGTAAGTCACGGCTTAACAAATTTGTCTGGAATCTAGAAGCCAGCTTAAACGGTTAGGAGCCAGGTTTTTCAACTGCAAAAATACCATTCTTAAAAGGACACTATAGTCACTAGAACCACTACAGCTTAATGTAGTTGTTATAAAGTTTATAGCCTGTCTCTACACGCTTTTCAGACAGAAGGCAGTATTTACATTATAGTCTTTTAAAACCTCTAGTGGCAGTCACTGAGAAAGTCTCCAGAGGTGCATTCTGGGTCAGTGCTGCACAGAATGCAGCACCTGCATTCAGCGTCTCTATGCTCTACTTGGAAATGCTTAATGCTCACCATACGCGTGCATTGATTCAAGCGTGTTTTTCTGCGCATGTGCAATAGTCTCCAAATGCTTTCCTATGGGAAAGCATTGGATTGGCTGAGATCGTCAAGCGATGACTAGAACGGCATTGGAAAAAAGGTCCATAAAAGCACATTGCCATGTGATTGGAGGGCCGGTTACCTAAACCGATGCACTCACTGACAGACACACACATTCACAGACAGAAACACACAAATTCACAGACACACACTTACTGACAGACACACCTTTTCACAGACTCACATATTAGTTATATTTAAATTTGACTGCCCAGTCTCCCTACCTTTACCTGGGGTCAAGTGGGGCTGATCATCTTCCTGCTCCCTCGCGCTCTGTTTAGTGAGCCAACACCGGAGTGACGTCATATTCCAGCTCCCGACATCACTGGAAAGCGCGTGAGAGAGCAGGAAGATCACAGCTCCCTCGCCGCCTCTGTAATCAGTCAGCCGACCTGCTTGTCTCAACTTATCTTGAGCCATGAGCCGCCTGCCTGTCGGCCGCTCACTATGAGCCACCTGTCCGGCAGCCAGCCTCTGCTCACTATGAGCCGCCTGCTAGCCTCGGCTCACTACGAGCCACTTGCCACCTTGGGGGCTGAAGGGGCTCACTCATCCCAGGCGCCCGGTCAAATTTCCTAGTCATCATGGTGACCTGATGCCTGGCATTTGTTGAGCTGTGAACTAAGTGTTGGTTCTGTGTGCAGGCTTCATTCTTTTGTTCTGTGGTAAACTCAAACGCTAGTGAGGTTTATCTTTGGATGAACATGCTTGTATTTAAATATATTACTGTAACTTTTTATTGTGCTTTGATAAAAATGTATTTCACCCATATTTAAAGTTCTCTTTTGAACTTGATAAAATAACTCAAACCAATTTTATTTATATATATTTAGGTGTCCTGTGGTTTTTGTGTTCTCAAACTACAGAAAATTGGATTGCGGTTTCCTTAACTTTTTTTTCAATTCAGTAAACAAAATAGCTGTAGCAAAAGAGTAACACACACAAAAAAAAACGCTGAGAATTTTGCGCCCTGAGTGATGCCAGACAGACAGGCTATCAGTCTGACGTGCCCACTTTTTGATTGGGTCCTGCCCATTCACCTGTCATGTGTACATTACTTTTAATTATTGTGAAGTCCAAAGAAAACCAGCACAACTTCTTTGATAATGGAAGTCAATGCAGTATGGAGGGGATTAATGACCTCCATGTCAGTCCAGACTGTGGAATCAATCAGGGCCCAAACAAAAACCCTACCTTTAATGAATCTAAGATTAAATGAGAAAAGCCCATTATGGTGCAAATAAGGTGAAAAAAGACAAAGCCTGACATGTTTCGGTGTGCTCTCACGCTGTTGTCAGGGCCAATGTGTATAAGCTTCCCAGAAAAGTGTGTTTAAATAAATTCCTTTTTAATGAGCCATCTGTGTAGACTCCAATCAAAACAGTTTTAGGAGGAGACTTAGACACTCTTATATGGTGAACCCAATCAGAAAAGAGTTGGCGGGGACTATATGGTGATCCATTGCGCTATCGGACTGAGATTAACTCGACGATTAAGCCACGTGGGGGAAAAAAGGCGGACCTTTCTTCATCACCCTGCCTCTCCCCAAAGAGGGACCCCATAAGCATGCATCCCAGTCTGTCCATTCTCACAGTCTATCCATAACATCGCTAATTTGTTTTGAGCAAGCCTATAGGGGCGTGTTCAAAGTGGAAAGAAGGGGAGGATTAGTCCCCTGAATCATATGTTTCAGACTGAGATGAAAGCAGCGATTGGGCCATGTAGGAGAAAATAGGGTATATTCCTGCATCAATCCAAAGAAAAACCCTTAACACACAAAGTGCAAGTTAAGTGAGGTGTCCCAGATAGCTCCATTACAATTGCGACTTCCCAAGTGTTTACAAAAAACACTTAAAAACACAAGCACAATACTAAAAATACAGATAGGGGGCGCTCTAAAATATAAGTGTAAGCAAAGAGAGATTGCAAAATAAATACTTATTTGCACTCTTTTTTCATGATTTGTATGCTCCACCTAAATTAAAAAACAGTAGCACATAGCATAATACTGTATATTTTATATATTCTTCAGAAATTATTTAAGAATCGCCAACTCACAATCTCCAGAGCCACATATAGTAGGCTCTGACTGGAATAACGTATTCAATTGCCACTCAAAATGCACACCAACTCCACCCCTTGATGCAAACCCCCAACTGGTACCAGGAATCAGCAGGAAAATAATTTGCAGGTCCGGAGTACTTTCAGTGCTTAACATTATGTTTAATCAAAATATAATATAAAATAAATCAATATTTCAATATATAAAGACAATAAAAACATTAACTCGTTTCGACCCGATGGTCTTTCTCAAAGTGTATCCTCTGTAATGTCCATATGTCCATTATATACCCCATCCGGAACTCTTTCTTTGGCGCCAAAAACAATTCCTCGCCGCCATTCCGTCCTCATTTCCGCCCTTTGACTTCTGTCCCTTAATGGTGACGTACTTCCGCTTCCGTTTTCACTCGGACGTCGGTCTTTTACATGCGTGCAAAGCATAGAAGTCAAAGGCACCATCTTTGAAGATCCCGAATTGGGCTTTTTCTTTTATATTAGTCCTGGCAAAATACCTCTTATACTAAAAGATCCAATCTTAAAATTGTATAAATATTTTTCTTATCCTTTTACACAGCAACATTCTTTTAGCAGCATTGTTTCTATCTACATAAGTAATTCAGATAACATCAAATCATTTTATAGTTTTATATAAAACAAACCATAATTCATCATAACTGTACAAAAAATTATGCTTTAAAAAATAACATCTCCAGTAAATCTACAAAATCTTAAAAAAGAAAGGAAAAAAGAAGAGATCATTAATATTATAAATAGTGATGTCCCGAACGGTTCGCCACGAATGCGCTGTTCGGTCCGCCCCTATTCATCATCATTGAGTAAACTTTGACCCTGTACCTCACAGTCAGCAGACACATTCCAGCCAATCAGCAGCAGACCCTCCCCCCCAGACTCTCCCACCTCCTGGACAGCTCACTAAGAATGCAGTTTCACAATGAATGTAAAATGGATGCTGTCCAGGAGGTGGGAGGGTCTGGGAGGGAGGGTCTGCTGCTGATTGGCTGGAATGTGTCTGCTGATTGTGAGGTAGAGGGTAAAAGTTTACTCAATGATGACGAATAGGGGGCGGACCGAACAGCACATATGTTTGCCGTCGCCGTCCGTGGCGAACCGTTCGGGACATCACTAATTATAATCTTTATATATTTATAAACTGTCATTCAACATGTTATTTTATTGCACTCATCTCGAAGCCACAGTTTAGCCCATTGGGTGCTAAAGTGTCTAAATTAAAGATCCAGCCCATTTCACATGAACTAAGGGTTGAATCAACATCCCCTCCTCTCCAATGACAAATAATATTTTGAATTGCATAAAATCTTAATCCTTTTGGGTCTTTACCGTGACATTCTAAGAAATGCAATGAAACACTGTGATTTGTGAACCCTCTTTTAATGTTGTATATATGCTCTCGTACCCTCGTGGCCACACATCTAGTGGTTTTACCCACATATTGTAGCCCACACGGGCACTCGAGCACATATACAACATTGCTAGTTTTGCACGTCATGAATGACCTTATACCATACTGTCTAGAGTTGGAGTGAGAAACAAAGGTGGTAATCTTCTCTTTATTTTCCATTAATTTACACCCCAAAATTAAAACCTTTCATTGATTCTCTCTTCATACTTAAAAAATCTGTATCCGACTATTCTATTAAAATCAAAAATTAATGGAACTATTTCTGTACCTTCATCTTTTGTTAGTTTATACTCTAATAGCTCTTCTCTGTTCATCTCTCTAACCTGATTAACTGCCCTGTTTAAATCTGCCTCTACATATCCCTTTTCCAAAAACTGTTGTTTCAAAATGTCTGCCTGGATATCGCATTTCTTCATATGTGAACAATTCCTCCTTACTCGTAGGAACTGCCCTCTGGGGATGTTACCTAACCAGGGTTTGAAGTGGCAGCTATCCTTTTCAATGAAACTATTTACGTCCACCTTCTTAAAAAATGTACACGTCTCAATATTATTACCATCACTGTAGATGTTTAACTCTAAGAAATTCATTTCTCTACTCCCGATTTCATGGGTAAGTTTAATATTCCATTGATTCGTATTCAGGTGGGTAATGAACTCTAAAGCTGACACTTCATTCCCTCTCCAAATTATTGGTGAGTATCAGCCGAATAGATTCTAAGATAAAATCAATTTGATCACTGTGATGTAATCCAGATTTCTTGAGGAAAAATCTAACTGCCTCACACCCTCTAGTATGTTCAATGCAGGTGTATAAACTGGCCACCTTGCATGTCACAAACAAAAATTGTTCTTCCCATTTCACATTTTTTAACACTTGTAGTAAACTCATTGAATCTTTTAAAAACGAAGGGCATGTTTTAACTAAAGGCTGAAGAAAGGTATCTACATAATTGGATAATGGAGACAGTAAAGAACCTATCCCCGAGACTATAGGCTGTCCAGGGGGATTCCTTATATCTTTATGTAATTTGGGAAGTACATATATAATCGGTATTCTGGGAAACTAGGTATTCAAAAATTTATATTCTCGAGTAGTTAAATTTCCTTTTAAATGGCCCTTATCCAAAAGATGAACATATTGTTTCCTAATTTCTGTAGATGGATTATTTTTCAATTTCTTATATGTATCCACATCATTAAGCTGTCTATTTATTTCTGCAATATATTTTTCTCTGTCTAGAATGATTACCCTGCCGCCTTTATCGGCGGGCTTGATGACTATACTTTTGTCATTTTTTAATTCCTTCAAGAATATAAATCTTTGAATACCGAGTTTCCCAGAATACCGGTTATATATGTACTTCCCAAATTACATAAAGATATAAGGAATCCCCTGGGACGGCCTATAGTCTCGGGGATAGGTTCTTTACTGTCTCCATTATCTAAGTATGCATACCTTTCTTCAGCCTTTAGTTAAAACATGCCCTTCGTTTTTAAAAGATTCAATGAGTTTATTACAAGTGTTAAAAAATGTGAAATGGGAAGAACATTTTTTGTTTGTGACATGCGATGTGGCCAGTTTATACACCTGCATTGAACATACTAGAGGGTGTGAGGCAGTTAGATTTTTCCTTACGAAATCTGGATTACATCACAGTGACCAAATTGATTTTATCTTAGAATCTATTCGGCTGATACTCACCAATAATTTTTGTTTGATTTGAAGGAGAATTTTTTCTTCAGTGTCTTGGTACTGCTATGGGGACCAGGTTCGCCCCCCAGTTATGCTAATTTGTTCATGGCCCAGTGGAAAGAGGAGTTTTTTTTTTTTGGGCATCGCTGGTTGGTGAACCTAGTCCTATATAAGAGATATATCAATTATATATTTTTAATTTGGAGAGGGGATGAAGTGTCAGCTTTAGAGTTCATTACCCACCTGAATACGAATCAATGGAAAATTAAACTTACGCAGGAAATCGGGAGTAGAGAAATTAATTTCTTAGATTTAAACATCTACAGTGATGGTAATATTGAGACGTGTACATTTTTTAAGAAGGTGGATGTAAATAGTTTCATTGAAAAGGATAGCTGCCACTTCAAACCCTGGTTAGATAACATCCCCAAAGGGCAGTTCTACGAGTAAGGAGGAATTGTTCACAAATGGAGAAATACGATATACAGGCAGACATTTTGAAACAACAGTTTTTGGAAAAGGGATATGTAGAGGCAGATTTAAACAGGGCAGTTAATCAGGTTAGAGAGATGAATAGAGAAGAGCTATTAGACAAAAGATGGAGGTACAGAAATAGTTCCATTAATTTTTGATTTTAATAGAAACCATGTTCAAATGAAAATATTTTTTTTATAAGAATTGGACCTTATTAAAACAGGATAAGGATTTGATGAAACATATAGGTGATAAGCCCAGAATAATATATAGGGGAGCACAAAATTTGAAACAAGTTTTAACAGCTAGTTTTTTAGAGAAGTCAGATAAAGATTTTTTAAGTATGAAGAGAGAATCAATGAAAGGTTTTAATTATTGTAAGAATTGTATGGGGTGTAAATTAATGGAAAATAAAGAGAAGAAGATTACCACCTTTGTTTCTCACTCCAACTCTAGACAGTATGGTATAAGGTCATTCATGATGTGCAAAACTAGCAATGTTGTATATGTGCTCAAGTGCCCGTGTGGGCTACAATATGTGGGTAAAACCACTAGATGTGTGACCACTAGGGTACGAGAGCAAATATACAACATTAAAAGAGGGTTTAAAAAATCACAGTGTTTCATTGCATTTCTTAGAATGTCACGGTAAAGACCCAAAAGGATTGAGATTTTATGCAATTCAAAATATTATTCGTCATTGGAGAGGAGGGGATCTTGATTCAACCCTTAGTTCATGTGAAATGGGCTGGATCTTTAATTTAGACACTTTAGCACCCAATGGGTTAAACTGTGACTTCGAGATGAGTGCAATAATATAACAGGTTGAATGACAGTTTATAAATATATAAAGATTGTAATATTAATGATTTCTTCTTTTTTCCTTTTTTAAGATTTTGTAGATTTGCTTGAGATGTTATTTTTTAAAGCATAATTTTTGTACAGTTATGATGAATTCTGGTTTGTTTTATATAGAACTATAAAATGATTTGATGTTATCTGAATTACTTATGTAGATAGAAAGAATGCTGCTAAAAGAATGTTGCTATGTAAAAGGATAAGAACAATATTTATACAATTTTAAGATTGGATCTTTTAGTATAAGAGGTATTTTTCCAGGACTAATATAAAAGAAAAAGCCCAATTCGGGATCTTCAAAGATGGCGCCTTTGACTTCTATACTTTGCACGCATGTAAAAGACCGACGTCCGGGTGAGAACGGAAGCGGAAATACGTCATCATTAAGGGACAGAAGTCTAGAGTGGAAGTGAGGACGGAATGGTGGCGAGGAATTGTTTTAGGCGCCAAAGAAAGAGTTCCGGATGGGGTATATAATGGACATATGGACATTACAGAGGATACACTTTGAGAAAGACCATCGGGTCGAAACGCGTTAGTGTTTTTATTGTCTTTATATATTGAGATATTGATTTATTTTATATTATAGTTTGATTAAACATAATTTTAAGCACTGAAAGTACTCAGGACCTGCAAATTATTTTCCCGCTGATTCCTGGTACCAGTTGGGCGTTTGCATCAAGGAGAGGAGTTGGTGTGCATTTTGAATGGCAATTGAATACGCTATTCCAGTCAGAGCCTACTATATGTGGCTCTGGAGATTGTGAGTTGGCGATTCTTAAATAATTTCTGAAGAATATATAAATTATACAGTATTATGCTATGTACTACTGTTTTTTAATTTAGGTGGAGCATACAAATCATGAAAAAAGAGTGCAAATAAGTATTTATTTTGCTATTTCTCTTTGCTTTCACTTATATTTTAGAGCGCCCCCTATCTATATTTTGTTTTTATATTCCTGCATCAACCTGTCACTCCCCAAAAGCGGGGTCCCATAAACATACATCCCAATCTATTCGCTCTCACAGTCTATCCATAGTATCGCCGGAATGTTATGGGCCAGCCTATAGGGGCGTGCTCAAAACATAGAGAAGGGGAGGATTAGTCCCCTGAACTATATGTCTGTGTATCCTTAAACCACTGCCATGAGGAGATTAATACTCTACCTAATGCAGGGCCGGACTGGGGATACAAAGCAGCCTTGGAAAAAAAATCTATGCCAGCCCCATAAGTCATTGCGCCATATATTGTCGCATGTAATATGTAAGGCTATGTCTTGCCACCCCAGATGATTGAGTAATATATTATATATTATATATATATATATATATATATATATATATATATATCTTAAATATATATTGCTTTTTCTAATATAAAATATTGGTCCTTTCAGAGTAAAACGTTTAATTATACAGTAAGCATACTCACATGCAGACACAGACAATCTCACTGACACACACAAGCTCATTGATACACAGCCTCATAGTCAAACAATCTCACTGATATACATAAGCTCATTGACATAAAAACACAAGTTCACTCACTAGCAGGCACACACACACAC